TCACTTTCCTTTAAAACTAATGACAATTGAGAGAAGGAAAAAGAGAGAAGAAAAGAATAAGAAAGAAATTCTAATTAGGACAGGAATAGGAACAAAAACAGAAAAATGAACAAGGTGGGAGAGATAGTGCAAGAGAGTGAGAAGGAAAAGAAAAAAGGAGAAAGAAGAGAATAAAAAGGAAAAACCTTTGAAAAGAGAAAAAAATTTTAAATTTAAAAATATTATTAAAATAAGAGAAAAATTACTTTGAAAATAAAAAATAAAAATAAAGTGCCTCCTTCAGGGTGTCTCTGCTGTCACAGTAGACAGCGTGGGCAGGACTCTGTTAGTCTCAGCAAGCTAGTAGCTGTCCCCTGAGATTCAGACTGATTTCTGATGGCAAGACCCAAGTTGAGTTCTCTGGCCTCCTGCTATATTGAACTCTACAGGGTTCTACTGCAGGTTCCACCTGCCCTTCCACTGAAAATAGTCCAGGTCCCAATGGGAGGTGGTGATCCCTCCGACTTACCAACTATGGTGGTCTAGTGTGCCTTTATTGCAGAGATTCTCTTCACTTTTCCATTGGGCTTCAGTTTTCATGTAGGAGCCTCAGAGAATTCTTCTTGTTGTGCAAAATAATGAGTTTTGGAAGATAATAAAATATATTCAAAAGCAAAAATATACATGAATTAATTTCAGGATAACTATGGTAAACATGTGAATGATTGAACTGATTGACTTGAATTACAGTGTTCTCATATTGAGAAGCTGTTCACTTGATGGTGGAAGCAGTATTTTGGGTTATTATGCTATATGCATATATATTGATTTATGAAATAGTGTAGAGGTATCAATAAATATGAGGCATTTTAATAAGGTGAGTGAAACTAAAAGGATTTAAAAAGTAATATACTCTTAGACAATCTTAAAGAGGCCATATGTTAATTTATATCAAGCTTGCCATCAGGCTTCATTTAACACTTGCCTGAGAATTGGCCATTATAATAGCAGCTGTGGGCATGAAAGGTCATGTGGAGAGTGACTAAAAAGACAAAAACAGAGTGAAGTGTTAGACATATTCCTTGTCTAGCTCTTATTTCCACCGAGATGATTTGAGGAGAGAACAGTGTTGATGTCTACCAAGTCTCAATTCAGAGGAGTCAAGTTCAGGTCATTCTCTAGATTCTGGAGTCTAGAAGGCTATTTTATCATCGTAACTGGAAGGGGTGTGGGGAGAGACAGAGATGCCTGCTTGCCTCTGACATCTCATGAAATCTGTAAGAATCAAGTTTTTATTATCTGAATTACTTTTGAATATAAATTGAGAGAATTAATGCTGTTGCTGTGAAAAGCAAAGGAATTTGTTATCTCATTTCTTTTCAAATCATCCCTATGAAATAGGGAAAGCCAGAGGTTATATCTTCGTGTGGCAGATGTTAAGATAGTCACAGTGCAATAAAATGATCTGTTCACTCAGTGACAGGCTTAAATTTAGGCTTTCTGTGAGCTCAGTTTTTTATTTGCATATTCACATTGCCTTGTTTATTAAGTCCTAAATAGACACAAATGTCCAACAAGAGAGGCTGGTTATTGGCCAACTAATGATTGTGCATTAAAGTAGAGATTAAAGAAATATCCTCCCCCCATCAAGTTTGGAGATCAAAAATTCAGCCATTTCTTGCTGTCATTTCCCCAGTCATTTCTTGGTTGCTCAAGCACTTTTTTTCAATAAAGTTTCATGAGAACACTATTCTTTGAGTTACTGTGTCTTCAAATTGTTGGTCTCTAGCTTCTGTATTGAAAAATATTTTGGCTTTCATTAAGGATCTTGGAAATATTGCTCCATTATCTTCTGGCATTGATGTCACTGTGGGGAAATCAGAGGCTAGCCCTACGGTTTTTTTTTTCCTCTCATAAATGACAAATTTTTTTCCTGCCTATGTCTTTATGGAATCTAGCAAATTTATTGTGTTGGGTCTCAGTATAAATGTTTTGTCATTTTCTCCTTTTTATTTCTTTATGTGTTATATGTTAAACGTGTTGTTTCCCTGTTTTAATTTTTTTAAGGGACTCCAGCGTTTTTCCTCCTGCTTCCTGCTCCTTTTCCTTTCTTCTCCCTTTCCTCTTTACCCCTTTCTTTCTCTGTCCTCCTCCACCCCACTGCTTCACTTGACACTAAATACTCTGAAGATCAGGCTCCACCCATCACTGTACTTACTACTGGGTCAAAAAGATAAAACACCTTTTTACGTAAGATTCCCTGGTATCCTGATTGCTGAATCCAATAAATATTTTTCAGATTTCATTCATTCTCAGCACTTTTTTAAACATAATGATCATTTCTTTCTTTTAAAAGTTCTTTGTATCCTGCAAATAGCTGTGAATGTGTGTTCCTCTCATTTTATAATCTCTGTGGCTCTCCCTGAGTTGAAATTTGTTTCTATCCTCTGGCCATCTCTTAAATATCAGGCTTCTCCAGGATTTAGTCCATTGTTGATTGCTTTTCATTTTTCTTAATTGTCCCTGGACAATTAAGAAATGTATTGTCCCTATACATTTTCTGTGATAACTTATAAATCTGTATGTTTAACCCAGATGTTTCAGAGTACTCCAGGTTGAGCATCCCTGATCCCAAAATCTTAAATGTAATATGTTCCAAAATACAAAACTTTTAAGCGTTGGTATGGTTCCACAAGTGGAAAATTCTATATATGACTTCACACACTGTACTGCAGTCAAAATACAAGTACACTGGAAATACTGTATAAAATTACGTTCAGGCTGTGTGTAAGGTATAGGTGAAATATAAAAGACTTTTGTGTTTAGACTTGGATCCCATCCCTAATGTCGATCAGTCCCTACTTCTTTCTTTGCCTGCAGTGCCAGCCTTCTATCTCAGTCTTCCTTCTTCAGAGCTTTGCACCATATACTCTTCACAGTGAGCTGTCCAGATGTATGAATCCGATGGTCCACTCTCCATTGAACCTCAGTATAAAGCCAGACACTTAATTTCCTATTTTCTAGCTTTAATAATGTTAAATATTGGGCTGGGGATTTAGCTCAGTGGTTCTGGTGCCTGCCTTACAAGTGCAAGGGCCTGAGTTCGATCCCTGATACCAAAAAAAAAAAAAAAAAAAAAGGAAAAAAATAACGTTAAAAATACTTTCCACCATTTAATTATATTATTTGATGTTTTGGGGAGATCTGCTACTACTAATTGTGGTTCCTGATGACATTCATTTATAGTTCATTCTTTCAAATTTTTTATGTTGTGCACATCTTCAATATTTAAATTTTTTGGTAGTACTTATTTTGTCTATATTCAGGACTGTGTCTCTGGGGAGTTTTCTGATTTGCTTCTTCCAAGTGACCCAGGAATAGTCTTTTTCAGGATCATTTTTTAAGTTAATTTCTTGGCTATACTGTTCCCATACTAAGGTGATACTGTTAAGTTTAAATCCTAGATCCACCCAAAGGTAGGGTTTTGAATATCGATTCTTGGAGAATACAGATTTATCCCCGCGGAGTCTGCCCAAGACAGACATCCTTCCCAGTCATTTTCCTATGCCAGAAGATGGCTTTTTTTCTTTCTTTTGATTTCCTTTTTAAAAAGCTACAGCTTTTCAGGGATCCCAGTTTTAGGTAGGTCCTCTGCTTCAGTTTCCTATGTCATCAGGGTTTGAGGATTCAGCTTCTTTCTGGCGTTAAAACCCAAGCTTTTCTGTGACCAGCATACCTATGGGACCGTGTCAGGAACAACTTGGGGACTTACTGCTTTGGCTGTCAGTCCTCCTTTTACTTTTAGACCTTAAATATTGTCCTTACTTTTTTGGGAGCTCAACAGTATATTTTAAAGGTTGTTTAATAGATTTCCCCCAGCATTCCTCAGGAGTCCTCCTTTCCCCTTCCCATTATTGAGCCCAGTGTTCTTATTCAGGCTGAGATTCGATATAGCCCTAACCTTTTTCAAATCTATGATTTTTGGATTCATATTTTGCAGACTAAGATTATAAAGCTAGTCAGGAAGAATATTGATGACAAGGAAGGAGGATGGGTCAGGGGTAGCTCTTCTGATCCTTTGAGGATTGCAGGCCCTTCTTCACATTCCTCTCTCAAATAAGAAGGGACCTTAGTTTTGACCTTTTTGTCTAGCAGGTATTAGCATGCAGTATTGTTTTTTGTTTCCCCCCACACACATTCTTTTTTTCCCCCTCTCACTTTCCTGGGATTATTTTTCTTCCTAGAATGTAGACCTTCTAGGATTTTTTTAAAGGAAACTAATTCCCTATAACCAACAGAAAATGAAAAAAGTACTACTGAAATCTGATGCTTGGTTATTGACGGTTAGCAGTCATAATAAGCTGCCTTTGCCTCTTCAAATTATTTCCTTTGAAAAAGATCAAAATAATGGGTTTCCATTTGCTTTAGATGAGTCCATGCATGATGAATTTAAAGCAATCAAAATATTGTGAAACTGAGAAGTTAAATCAAGCTCAGAGTGGCTGGTTTGAAGATTTATGACAAAATACATGCAACCTTCATCCCCTGAGCCACCAACTATCTACTAGAAGTTTGATGTGTTTTCTTTTTCTTTATAAAGTTTAGGTTAATTACACATTTTTACAGTTTGCTTTAATGTTGTAAACTCTTTATAATTTTATACACATATTTAGGTAGCAGAATTTTACTTAACTATTTTTCCATGTTGTGTATTGAATTTAAGTGAATATCTTCTTTCCCCTTCTCTACTTTCCTCTTCCATCTCCTGCTGCTTGTTATAGAACTGTAGAAAACAGCTTAATGCACTAATTTTGTCTTAAAATATATTTAAGATAAATTTCCAGAAATAGAATTAGTGAATAAAATGTTTTCATATTTTTAAGACTTTTGGTACATAATGCCACATAGTGGTCCAAAATTGTATCATCTCAACCAGCAGCATCTTCAGGAGACCTCTTCTGTTATGGGTGGGCCATGGACAGGGTCATGGAGCTGATGCTTTCTTTATGATTCCTCTACAGGATACGGTGCCTGTCATAGTTGATTACTGCCTTCTCCTGCAGAGAAAGTGAGTATGCATCGCCTGTCAAATTCAGTTATTTTGAATTCAGATAGCATCTTTATGTACAGTTCACTGCCATGAATGCTATAAATTTGACTAGATAGTTTTTCTTAAGTTAGAGAAATTTAATTCTTTAACTGTTTTTAGTCCATTCATCTAATAAATTAACCTTTCTGAAACAGGTATTTATGATTATTTCATCAATGTATTTGAGTGACACACTAATAGAAGCAAAGAACATAGCCAACAAAAGAGCAGTACTACTTAGGAATCTTAAAAGTAAAAAGTATACGATCTGTGTATTATATGTATCTTTCTCTTTTTAAAAAACATATATTCTTTTATGAACTCTCACTAAGTAGAGAACTCTCACTAACTACAGTAGTTCATAACATCTAAAAATGCTAGATTCATTTCGTTTAAAAGACATCAGGGTAAAAAACTTGATTAGACTTTGTGGATTTAAATAGTAACTATATGAATTAAGCAACACATGCTAATTCAGTTTTTCACACTCATACTATTTAGAACACTAAGTCCCCTACATATTCATTTATCTAATCTTGTAGCTACATGTCTAACTATTATAATATTAAGGTAGGTATTATTTTAATTTTTATTAGTGCATATTTTCAGTACATAATATTTGCATTCCTTGTGTGCATTTGCTACCTATGTGTAACACATCTTAATTCCTTTTTTTAATCCCCTCTCCCTTTCTTCCTTTCTCTCTCCCTCCATCTCTTGATCCCCTCCCCATTTGAGAAATATCTGTGTCCTTATTTACTATACATATCTTTTATTTTGCTCTTTATTTATAATTTGGGTTCTAGAGGAGAAGATGATCAAAAACTTACTCCCATAGTTTTCAGGTAGCAGAGGTGAGATGCAACACAGGAGTTTAGCTCCTGACCTCATACCGCTTTCTTACTGATGGAGAACCAATGGGAAGATCTAATGCAGATACTCCTAAAACCCCACGCCATACTCTCTTGACTCATGAATTTATATATATTTCTGTAGCCAGATTCCTGAAAGGTTGGATCAGACTTGAAAGTATCAGTGAAGGTTACAAGGAGGGCAGTTATTTGTTGTGTCAGACCTTTGACTAAATCACAATTAGCTAATGTTTCTACTTACTTGGGCCTGAAATGTATTCCAGCATTTTAAGTATCATGTTATATGTAATTTGTGAAATACATTATGTTTATGGTAGGGATGTTGTTGAGAATGTTATTTTATACAGTATATTGCAGTCTTTATAAGGACCTAAGGGAGAAATTTCTTTTAGGTGATAGGGCCAGAAATACCTTTGCAACTTTGAGCAGCCAGTTGACATTTAGCTGGTGGATGATAAATTAGGTAAGCTAATCATGGCTTCATAGAAGGCAAGGCACCACCATAACCTTTCTTTTCTTAACCTGGTCTTTTCTTTACCCCACTTTTCACATTCACTTTCTTGTTATCTATCCTGTATTTTAAAAAAAATCCTTAATAGCTTATGGATCAGTTTTTTATATATTTTATTTCATTTAATCCTTATAGTTGAGAGAAAATGTTGTCCTCATTTATAGATAAAGAAATGTTCCTTATATTTTTTTCTTTTCCCTTATTAGCTTTCTCCTACCCTTCCCACTTTCCCTACGCTGTTAGCCCCTTTCTTCCTATTTCACATTGTCAATTATATCATTAGGATCTTATGTACTATTATAGTTTATTCACACCAGAGAAACTATTCTGTATTTACACATGTATGACTTATTTATTTCACTTAGGAGTATATCCTCAGTATGTATCCATTTTCCTATGAATGAATCTAATTTCTCATTCTTTATAGCTGAGTAATATTCCTTGTTGTAGAAAACCACATCTTTATCCAGTTTCTAACTGATGGGCAAATGGGCTATTTCCAAGTTTTAGCTATTACAAACTGTGCCGCTATAAACATAGGTGTGCATATATCTCTGTAATATGATTCTTTAAATTCTTTTGGAAAGATACCCTGCAGAGGAATGGCTGGGTCAAATGGAACCTCTAGTCCCAGCTCTTTGAGATATCTCCATATTGATTTCCATAGTGGTTGCACCAGTCTGCACTCCCACCAATAATGGAGAAGGATTCCTTTCTCCCCACAACCCCACCAACCCCACCGAAAAAAAATGAGGAAATGAAAAAATGGAAATGAAGTGTTTGTAAAGGGGGAGGGGAGGAGGGGGTGAAGGGAGGGCAGGGACAAGGGGAAAAAATGAAAACCAGGACCCGTCATGTAAAGGTACAAGATCCCAATAATGAATGTAACTGTACTGTATATCTAATAGGTACCAGTAAACTAAATGAGGAAAATAAATACCAGATAAATCAAGCTAATGGGGAGACTGACTATATGATTAATTGTGCCTATTCTAGATAGTTTTAAATTTTGCTATTACACATAACTGTACAACTATAAACATAAATGTTTGACTTTTTTTTTAAGATTTATTTTCGGAGATGGGAAAATACAAAAGCTAAGAGTAAAAAAAAAAGTTCCTTATAAAATGATGAAATGAAGTACCTGAAAGAGTAAATTTTATTCAGAATAAGAAGACATATTCTACTCTAAATAAAATGGATTACTTCCGCCTAGAGTGGTACCTGGCACTAGTAGCTATTCAGTACTTGATGGCTGAATTAACTAAATAATTCTAGTTTGCAGGGTGACTTGTGATCATTATCTTGAACATTTGAATGCTGTTACAGTAGCGTGAAGTCAAAATGGCCTTAACAGTTGTAAAATGAAGGATAATATGTGGAAAAAGAAAAAATAGGTTCTTTCTTTCAGAAGTATTTTGTTATTCCCAGAAATGTTCATATTATAACCATTTCTTCTATATGATTTGAAAAAGCAAGTATTTTCCAACCTAACTTAATCTACTGACTGGTTGAGAAGACAATAATTTCTACATTAAATCATAGCATATACTACAGAAGACAAAATTTCATCTATATTTTCACCAAATTAAAATGTTATTTCTCTTTTTTGTTTGTTTCAATCAACTTCTTTCCTTTAATTTTTCCTGACCTTTTAGAATGTTTTCTTTTGGATGTACCTGAAACAAATGGAATATTTGTTACTGGAGAACTGAGAAAGAAATACCAGCAGCTACTATCTATTCTTGACCTCCTGGGAGAGGGATCTCAAGGGTCCTTTGTCCAGCTTGTCTGGTCCTCTTCATAGTTTTTCCCTCTTTTTCCATGGTCCACAGTAAAAATAAAAGTAAAGATAAAGTGTAGACTTCTTGTCTCTCACTAGACTAGATTGTACTATATTTGGAAAAGTCCCAGAATGTGTGTTCTTTCTTTATCTCCGAGTCTTTTTCCCCACTTTTACTTTTTGGGGCTGGCTTTCCAGCCATCCCCCTTTTAAATTTTTCATTTTGAGTCAGGGTCTTACTAAGTCAGTAAGTTGCCCATGCTGTGCTCAAACCTCCTGCCTCAGCCTCTCAGACTGTTAGGATTACAGTTGTACACCATAGCACCCAATTTATTTTACTTTTATAAGTAAGAAGGCTAGCCCAAATTGACTTTGAATTTATTAATCCTCGCTTATATTTACTGGGAATTAACTTACTTGATTCTGGCTGTGTATTTAGTATAGATTAGCAAGTATTCTGACTGATGATGTCCCACCTCCCTATAAACAGTCTCTAAATTTGTAATTATCTCATAATCAAAGCTATTCTTCACCTCTAAAAATTATAAAATTGAAAATATACAAAGTGAATATAAACATTTTTCTTTATTTGAAGTTTAAATGATAAACCCAGTAAACTCCAGAATTATATTTACTGTATTAGTCAAGGGAAATTTGTAGAAAGATCTTCAGTGGCTTTCTATTACTCATGATGGCTTTTCTGTTGTATTGGCTAGAAGTTAAACTTGAAATGGTAACCAGTAGGGTTGAAGTCAGCCCTTCTACAAAACAAAGTCAGCACCCAGGAGAATAATGCCTAAATATAGAAAGAAATGTGAGAGCTAAAAGCTATTTTTGTGTGTACTTTTCTCTCTCCCTCCTCTTCTGCTACCCTAATAAATATTCTCTGGGAATGATGAGACCATGTCTTAGGATTTTGTTTCATTTTTATTTTAAGGTAGAAATGCAAGTTGGAGTTCCTGAGTCTTATTTTTCTTATTTCTTTATTATAACCTCTAATTGGTTAAGAAAGAAATGTATATTCTTCTCATTAATCTTATCAACATTGCACGATGCTTTTTGTTCCAGGAGTTCCTTTTCTGTCAACTTTTGTGCTTTACTGAATTTTTAGCTTTCTTTAATTCTGTTTCCCAAATATATAATTATCTTTCTTAGCATGTTGTTCTTAACAGTACATTACACAGTACAAGGGCAAGCCAATATGACATTTTCTGTGAATTCGTTAGAGTTATTTTGTTAGTCTGACTTTTTCTTATAGTAAAGCTTCATTAATCTCAGGCTTTTTTTGCTTGGGTAGTAATTGGTAATCACAAAAAATGTGATGAACTATTGACTAAGATGAAACTAACATGAAAAATACTGTGATAAATATGAAGCCAAGGGGAAAATGATGAAAAAACTACACTTGAGAAAAAATAGATATGGATTTTACCCCAGGGTATTGCAAACACTGTTTATTGAAAAAAGGCATATGATTCTGGTGTAGTCATAGCCAGACTGTTTCCCATTTGTCCCAGCATTTCAGATGAGGCAAAACCCCATCCCACTCCTTCCAAGAGCTTCCTTGATCTTGTGGAACTTGTCATGTGGGTAAACCATCTGCCATTTCCACAGTAGACTCGATATACATAAAGTATATATTTAGATAAAGTAAATCAGTGATCCTAACTGGTAAATAGAATTAGCATAGTTTTTGTATTTAAAAATTGAATGAATGAATAAGTGAATGATAGAAAGCAATACAATTTACAAATGAATACAATGTCAATTTGGCCTTTATCAAGAATTAAAAACGTTGTTATTTTATTTGTACTTATTAAATTGTCAGAAAAAACTCAAAATTTTCCAAAATGGGAAAGACTCTATTTATATATATTCATTGTGACATCACTCAAAATACTGGAAATAAGTGACATGTCCAATACCACAGGAATAGTTAAGCAAATCCTAATATCTCATCATATTGAAGCATTATGCGTTAGACAAAATGGTAATTTTAAAGAATAGCTGCAGAGAGAGGGAAACTTTTATATACACTCTTGTTGGGAATATAAATTAGTACAGCCCAAATGAAAACAGTAGAAGTACTCAGAATTTAGAAATAGCACTGCCATATGATCCATCAGTTCTATTTTTGAGTATATGTCCAAAGGCAAGGAAATCTATGTTGAAAAGATAATGCATTTCCACATTTACTACAGCACTAATTATTATAGCCAAAACAGAGAAACAACTGAGGTATCTATCAACAGATGAATGGATAAAGAAAACGTGATACACACCACACACACTTACACATATCACACACAGAGGAATTCTAGTTAGCCATAAAAAGAGTAAAATTCTGTCAATTTGTAGCAACATGGATGAGCCTGGAATATTACATGAAGTGAAATATCAGTCATAGACAAATACAGTATGTTCTCACTTGTATGTGGAAACTAAAAACAACTGATCTCATAGAGGTAGAGAGTGAAACACTGGTTTCCAGGGGCTTGGAAAGGCTGGGAGGAGAAGGGGATGGAGCGAGGTTGGTTTCAGTGTACACGTGTGTAACTAGATTGGAGAAATAACTTCTGATGTTCTGCAGCTCAGTAAAGCAGCCACGTTTGACAAATAATTGTATACTGTATTTCAAAATAGCTAATAGTTGTGAAACACAACTGAAATAATTATGTGTGTGAAGTGATCGATATGCTAATTACCCTGGCCTGGTTGTTATGCACCGTATCCCTGTACCAAACTGTCATAATGCACCACATAAATAAAATGAAAAATACATCTTTTCATTGCTTAATGTACTCCATAAATAAAATGAAAAGTATATTTTTAAATTACAGACTTCCAAAAAACTAGAGTATCGGCTTAGACTAATGCTTATCGTATAATGCTGCATGAAAACAGAATTCAGGGTATTTATGCTGAGTATAATTCAAGTCACTTATAGACTGTTTATGGAAGAAATAGAAAATAATGCATTTAGAATAATTATTTAAAAATTTGTATCTGCAATAAAATTATTTCTAATTATATATTTTTTAGATTATAATGTTTTCTCCTGCTTCTATCAATAGTCATTGCCCAAGACCTTGGGGAAGCAAAGGGTTCGTTAGAGTTAGATGAAAACGCTTACTGGCCTGCAGGTCACTGGGAGTACAGCATTTCGTTACTAAGGAGGACAGGTTAAATAATAAATAATCCTTTTTTTCTCTTGCTTCATCCTGTTCGCCCTCTCACTTGCTCCCATGCATGGTACTGTTGGTAAGAAGCAAAGTGCTATAGTAGACTGAGCACGGTATTTAGGCCAGAGGCTGGGTTCACTTCTCTCTGTTAAGTTCACTATCTGCCTTTCAGCAAGCAATCTGACTTCTCCCACTTCTCTTATTTATAAAAGAAGTATTGGGTAGATTGAGATGCCGTAAATATATATATATGAAAAATGAGACATACTTAGCCGACTATATTTAGTGTGTATTTGGAATGCCCTTAAAATTATTTTTTTCTCTTTCTGGTATAGGGATCTTTTATTTAGCCAAATGTATGCTAAGTTAAGTGAGAATTCGGTGGCCAAAGGAGTGGTTTTGGAGTGTCTTGAACCATATATTTTAAGTGATAAATTGGTGGGGATCACACCCCAAGTAATGAAAGACTTGATTGTTCATTTCCAAGATAAAAAGTTGATGGAAAATGTGGAAGCCCTCATTGTACACATGGATATCACCAGCCTCGATATTCAGCAGGTGAGTTTATAGATGGCCTGCTAGTGTGCAAAATAAACATTCCTTTATTGATTATATTTACCTGTGTGATCAGGCCTGGCTCTGCCTCTTGAATACTCTAGTTATTTGCCATGCACTTTTGGTAAGATGTCTTGGGAACTCGTATTTATCAGTGTATTTCTTAGTGCTGTACATAAGTGAATAGATAATAAATGCCTGTGAGCCAGGGGTCGTATCTTCTCTCTCTTTGCTGTTCTCCCGAGCTCCATTTATGTTTATTAATTGCTTAATAAATGCTTCTTGACTGATCCTTTATCAGTTTTCATCTTGCAAGTGATTTTCAGCAGTGATTACTTCCACATGAATAATAGAATATTTTTGCTTTCAGAGGATGATGACATTTTTAAAAGAGCTAGTATATAAGGCCAGAATTGAGTTTTGGAATGCAGAGATCAGGGGAGAGGCAAATGACAGAACAGTGCTTCTTAGTATGAGCAGCCAGCCCATTATTTGATAATAAATCTCCAGTATATCTGAGGTTCCCACAATAAATTTTCAGTTCCTTATTGAGGGTTGATATCTACTCTAAAATATTTCAGTATTTATTTAATTAATTGCACATCAGTCCTAAGCATGAGCACGTTCATCCTGCAGAAGTGCTCAGCCTTTTTGAGTTAAAATTCAGTATAGGTGACTTACAAAAATTTAGACCAAAAGTGAAGCATGTAGAATCACATAAAAATGGAAGGCTTGAAAAAGTGGTTACTGTTCTCTTTCTGGAAGTCTTGGTGAATGCCTGCAAATTTACAAAGTAAAGCCAGATCTTTTTTTTTTTTTTTCCTTTGTATGCCTGTTATATGGGGAATTTGGCATAGTCTTTGCAGTCTCACAATAGCCCAGTACTTTGAAAGCATGTTATCAAGCTAGCTTTATGTACTTGTCATATAGAGGAGACGTTTTTGTTTCTAACATTTCTCAGCTTTTCCCCAACACGATGTAAATGTGCTTGTTAATTTCCCCTCAGTCTCTCATCTGTCTTTATGTAGCCTTCCCTTTTTCCTCTCGGGTGGCTGCCCCACCTCACTCCTCTTAGTCATAGCCAGATTTCTGGAAAACATTCCCCTGGTTGCTATTTCCTATTTTTTCACACCCTGATAACTTTTTAGCCTCACTTGCACTAGAGTCAGCAACAGACTCTCTTCACTTAGTCAAATACTCTTTTCAGTCCTTCTTTCCATAGTGTTTGTTCATTACTTCAAGAAGTAAATTTTGACTGTCACACTGAGGATGTTGCAGCTATCTCAGAGGGGAACCAGGCTTGCCCTTTCATAAACTTTAAATTTTAGCAGAAAAATTTGACAGTAAACAAACCAGAAAATATCTCCTCAAAAAAGTATTATGTTAAAAATCAAACAGCGATGTGATAGAGAAAGAAAGAGAAGCTACCTTAGCTTGGCTAGGTGTAGAAAGCCTTTCCAAGGAGGTCACATTGAGTCTTGGTGTCTGAATGACAAGAAGGAATCAGCAATGCAGAGATCTTGGAAGAGAGGGTTGTTAGATGAAACAGCTACAGCAACAAAAGGCAGGGAGGGGTCCATGGAGTATTGGTGTAAGAAAAGAAAGGCAAGCGGGGATCTGGAGCTTGATGAGAGAGAAGTAGACCTTGCAGTACAACATCTACATTTTTCTACTTTATTCTAAGTACTGTGAAAAATCATTAGAATTTAATCAGAATCACTCTGTGCCAGAGATACTAAGAGTAAGATGGAGAGAGTTGGCCTGATTGTGGATATTTTGGAGGTAAAATAGATTTTCTGGTGAATTGGATATGAGGATGTGAGAATGAGAAAATTTAAAGGTGATCCGTAGTGTTTTTTGGCTTGAGAACAGGTAGATAGTGATTCCTTTAAGAAGATTGAAAGACTGAGGCAGTTATTAGCCTGAGAGACAAAATCAGGAGTCTTGCTTTGCCATTTTACATGAAGACAGCTGCTTTATATCCACGCAAACATACCATGGAAGTGGTTGGATAGGTCAGAGGAACGGCTGGGGCCGAAGCTATGGAGTGTTAGTCATTAGTTAAGGAGACTCCTATTCATGCACTGGCTGAGAGTGGAGCAAGAAGAGCTTCCAGCACACGCCTTCCCCTAGGAAAAGTTCTCACGAGACACCTCACTTCCATATTTCTACTTACTGCTGTGGCTACTCCCTACTCTTCTCCTGTGCCAACCTCTGCTCTTCTACTCCAGCCCTCTTGTCATTCGATGGTGTCATGCGGCTCTCACAGGAACAGAATATATGAGTATTTCATTCTGCATGACAGAGCTATCCCTTTGCTTAGGTATTTTGTCAAATTGAATTCTCTCCATCCTCCTTCCACTGTAGGTCCTTCATGTTTCCTGTCTTCTATGGACAGACTCCCTCAGTTCTACTGCTCTCACATGTATGCATACTTTAGGCATAGTTTAAATGTTGTTCTCTTGGGAATGACTCTGAATACGGTAGACCGGGTCAGTAGTTTTCTTTATAATGTTTATCACATTTGTAAATGGTGCATTATTTGTGTATTCTGTTATCTTCCCCAAATCTTAACTCATATTGTTGTGTGCCCCTCCTTCCTGTTGGTGGCTGTCCATGGTGATTGTAAGTTCTGTAAGTGTGTGAGCTAGGAATAGATTTGTCCATTGCTTTATCCCTGGTGCCTAAGACATCGTATGACTGTAGGTGTTCTGTAAATAATTTGTACAACTGTGAATATTGTAAAGAAAAAGAGAAGAGACAAAATTTGACATTGGAGTGTGTTTAAAAGTAGCTATTACACTATTAAAAGTAATATTGAATCTATGATAACTCTTCCCTAGGTACCTTGTATTTCAATTTCAGTTATAAGAGAAGGAGAAAAAAAAATTAGGAAAGAAAATTCAGTACCTTCTCCATTCTTGAAGCTGTAAGAATAATAATTGGTGGAACTTACTGAATTATATGGTCCAAGTAATTTTTCCTTTTTACAGATAGTTCTCATGTGTTGGGAAAATCGACTATATGATGCTATGATTTATGTCTACAATAGAGGCATGAATGAATTCATTAGTCCAATGGAGGTAAGGATACTTCCTAATTTAAGATACACCTTTAATATTGTCTATTAATTTGCCCCTTATTTTCCATTTGCTTTGAATAGTTTGTTTTCATCCAGTCATTTCAAATTTTCTTGTTGATTATTAGATTTAGACCCATTTTTACATTTTAAAATTTTTATTAGTACATATTTGTAGTATATAATGATGCATTCATCATGAGAAGTTGGTTTCTTTTAAGAAGTTGTGGATGGGGTGAAGGAAGGGCAGAGACAAGGGGAAAAAATGAAAACCAAGACCTGTCATGTAAAAGTACAAGATCCCAATGATGAATGTAACTGTACTGTATACCTAAAATGTACCAATAAACTCAATGAGGGGGGAAAAAAAAAGTTGTAGATGTATATAACACATTAATTCTTTTTACCTTCCCGTTTTCTCTCCTTCCTCCATTTCCTAGTCTTCTTCCTGTTAAAGACTTAACAGTGATTTTAGCTTGGGACTTATAAGTAGTATTTTATTTTTATTTTTGGTGCTGGGGATTAAGCTCAGGGTTTTACACATGCTAAGCATGTGCTGTTCCACTGAGCTACACCCTAGCCTCCGTAGCTTTTAATTTCATTATTTTCTGCTATTGCTTTCTTATCTGCCTAAGTGGGTATTTAAATCCCAGAGAACAATAGATTAAAATTTAAAATAATACTTGCTTTTTAGACTTTGTTTTCTTCTCCTAAGAATTTTTTATACCATAGTAACTCTTCCAAAAGATGTGACATTTATTCTATATAATTATTGTATATAATAAATGTGCTGGCTAATGCTATTTTGCATGTATATTCTTCTGAGAGAGAGTCCTGAAAATTACAGGTCATTACTTGTTAATTGCTAATGTGTTACTTTTCCAAATTGGGAATTTTATAGCATTTATGATAACTTTTTATTTTCCTTACATATAGAATCCAAAAAGCATTTAAGCTTTTATTTTATCCATTTGTTTGCCTTAAATTGAGGACTGAAGTGTAGATAATGGAGCTGTAAATACACGCAGTGCCCAGCCCACTGCTTTATTATAGTGATTAATGACTCAAGAGAGCCAGGCGTCCCCTAAAGGCATCCGGTCAACTCTTGTGCAAATTTAATGCCATTCAGAACAGTCTTCAGTATTATTAAGTCAGCAGTCACTCTGTCAAGTTTCATTCTTCTTTGAGCACATTAGGGATGGTGAGTATCTCTTAACTCATCACCCTTCAATTTTGGTTGCACCTCTCTCTTCTTGGTAGGTGTCTGAAATTAGCACCACATCTTTTCTCCCTGGTTTTGACCTGGCTTTATCTATATGAAGAGTATTATTTCCCTTAACACCCTCAGCTGCCTCCTCAGTGAAGTTCAGTTCTTCCCTACATGCGAAAATGTTCTTTACACCACGATACTAGACCACAATTAGGAAAAATTAATTCAGTTTTGAGTTTTCCTCATAATAACCCTTCAAAGCAGATTTTAATTTGATGCATTCTATATTAACAAACATGACTGCTGGATTTTATATTGCTTTTGATTTGTGTGTGTGTGGTTATTTTTATTCTTCACAGTCTGGTTTAAATTTATACCTGTATGTCTCACATGGAACACTGGGCTATTGAGATTGCCTTATTTTGTGATCAGAGTAATTTTCAAGTTTAATGGCTTTCAGCAAGAGCTTGGTATTTGTTATTAAACAGTCATTTGGAGATTTTAGCAGTGGGAGGTTAGGTGTATCCTGTGGCTCCTCTTTTCTGATTCTCTATTTTTAAGGAAATCACTTTTCAGTGTTAAAGTTTAGATGTTTTAGTACTTAAAGAGGTCTGTATTATGAGGCAGTATCCTGTCTTTTGAGGTTTTCTAGATTTTCCAGAATAACAGAGTGTTGTCACATTTGAGATGACTACAGTAGCCTCTGAAATCTTTCCTTAGTTTAGTTTTGGCTGTTTCTGAGGTGAATGTATCTTGTGTTGAAAGGAAAAGCTTACCCTGCCATTTTAGTCCCAATAGTGTGGGAAAATAAACATTTGGGGGTGGGGAGGGACTGCAGTATACAGGCAAGGTTTGTCTTTTTTTGTGTGAGAACACTGTGTAATAAGTATCTCTGCTGAGCAGCCCAAGTGATATTTATATTAACAATTTAGCAAACAAGAGGGAGAGGGCAGAGTTAGGGCTTTGGTGAGAAAGTTTAGAAAGTTCTTCAGGGACTATTTTATTTTATTTGAGATGATAATTCTCATTATGTTGTCCGTACTGCCCCCAAACTCCTGGTCTCAAGTAGTCTTTCTGCCTCAGCCTTTAAAGTAGCTGGGACTACAGGTATATACCTAGCTCTTTTGGGCTTTTGATAATAATAGCTGAATTTGTACTTTCTAATGCTAAGGGTCAGTCTTCTCCCAAACAAGAAACTCCTAGGTGGGGTGGGGATAATGCTCATGGCAGGCGTATTTTTGGGGAGTCTTTGCTTAACTTTAGATAATGTTTCTTTCTGTGGCTGCTAATTATTAGATATTTTCAGTTTAAAGTAACTGCATAACCACTTTAGTGAGATGTTATTCCCTTCACTTGCTTACTCTTTAAAGAATAAGGCTCTTTCAAGAAACTAAGATACCTTATATCAAATTATAATCTCAACATAAACATTAGTGTAACTGGTTTTTATTAAATGATTTCTTAATAGTGAAGAATCTGACATTTTTTTCCTTTGTGATCCTGCTCAACAGTTCATGCACACAGTAAGTTTTTATATGTAATGTCAACAATAAGCATGACTAATTCCATCTCAGAAAGGTGATTAATAACAAGGTTCTTGATTGTCTTTAAAAATTATCTTTTGAAATAATGGTGATTGTTTTTCTATTAATTTTAATGCAGAAACTTTTCAAAGTCATTGCTCCTCCTCTGAATGCAGGAAAAACACTAACAGGTATTAATTTTCTAAGTCTTAATTTGTTCTTTTTTGTATTATTTAAATGCTATAAAAGTCATGAATTATATGTTTGCAGTGTGAATTTTTAAGGTAATCATATCTTATCATGTAACCATCACCATAATCAAACCATAGAAAGAGCTGTATAGTTCCTGATGCTAAGAAATTTCCTCTTACCCCTTTGTACTTCTAATTTCTTTTGTGATAAAGGTTGTTTAGAAATGTTAGTTTATTTTAAAATTTCCTACATTTCTTTCTATTTTGAATTAGAAATGATTTCTTATTTCATGCTACTTTAGTCAGAGAACATGCTTTTTATGTTTTTTATCTTTTAATTTATTGAGATTCATCTTATGATATAATGCATATATGGTCTCTCTTGGAGAGTGTTTCACATTCACTTGAGAATGGAATGTTCTGTCCTTTAGTGGAATGTTCTGTAAATGGTTGGGGGATCTAGTTGGCATGTAGTTTTGTTAAGGTCTTCTATTTTCTGTTCATCTTCTGCTAATTGCCTTAGCTATTATTGAAAATAGGATATTGAAGGGCTGGGGATTTGGCTCTGTGGTTCCACTGCCTGCCTCACAAACACAAGGTCCCGAGTTCGATCCCCAGGAACAAAAAACAAAAAAGGGATATTGAAGACTTCAAATTATTGTTGAGTTTTCTTGTACTTCATTTCTGTCAGTTCCTGCTTAATTTTTGTAGCAAGTATTTATTAATATTTAACACTTAAGCGAACAACAAATAATTTCATCCAGCATTCTTTAACTTCTTAAAACAATATTTCTTATAAAAATTCTTATGCTCATTATGAATAAATTGGTGGCATTATAAAAATATTTTAATTCATCCAGTTGCTTCATATTTGAACTGAAACAAAAATATTAATTACATTTTTATAACACTCTCCAAACATTCATGAATACATTCTCCTACTTTAAGCTTTACATAGAAGGTTTTGATTTTGTGGGAAACACATTGTGCATGAAATTTTCTGATTACATATTTGAAGTCTGAATATTAAAAAGCATTTACACTTTGAAAAGTCAGGAATGCAGAACCCAAAAGACATTCTTGTTTTGTTTTTGCTTTTTTGGTTTTTTGAGACAGGGTCTCACTATGTAGTGGAGACTGACCTGGAACTCACTATGTAGCCCAGGCTGGTCTCGAACTCACAGCGATCCTCCTGCCTCAGCCTCCTGAGTGCTGGGATTACAGGCGTGCACCACCATGCCCGGCCAAAAGACATTCTTTATAACTATCATAGGATGGATCCAAGGCAGGTTTCCCACAGAGGAGATGGGGACCCATGGAGTAGGCTCACTGACTTGTCATAGAGAAGCATTTCAGGACGTGTGGCTGTGAGGCATCCGCAGGTTTATTAGGCAGAGTTAGAAAGTAAGGGAGCATAGGAAAGGGACTGTAGCTTGAGCAGCAGGAGGAGGGCGCCCTCTGGTGAGGAGGTTTTCACTGGCTGACTCACAGAAGAACAAGGGCCACCACCTTTGTGTATTTGTTAGAGTGGGCCGGGGTCTGGTTGATCATCATCTCAGTTCTGGTTTCATAGCTCTGGAGAAATCCTTATAAATTAAGGGCCAATTTGATTCCTATGAGATGATTGTCCTTATTTTGGGGTGGGGAGGATCCTCAGTTCCTGTCATGAGGTAATTGTCCCCATCTGGGGAGATTCTCATCAAGTTATGGTCTGAGAGCTTTGCTTTTCCAGGAATCCAAGGTGATTGTAGTTTAGGACAATTTTTAGGCATGCTCTAGGGGTTTAGAATTGAACATAAAAGCTGGCAACTGAATATCCCTGCAAATCCTGAAAAGTAGTTACTGTTATCTTGATGTCATCAGCCTTGAGGGGGTGTGAGATAGAATAGGTAAATTTAGGGCCAGTAAGCCTTGTAATAAGATTAACATTAAATTAAGCAATTAACATGCCTATATGCAGAGCTAAGCAGGAATCTAACCCCAAGTTTTAAAGTAATAAGGAGAGAAAAAATTGAAAGCAGAGATGCCAGTCTTCATCCTACTCTTAGTTACCCATTGGGCATCTGTAGGCCCAGCCTCTGGGTCCGTGATGGCAAACCTGTGGCACAGGTGCTGCAGTGGACTGTTTCTATCACTGAAAGCTGTAAACGGTTCGCTCGCCATCACCGCTCCTTGTTGCAAATCCTGTCCTCAGCATTGGCCAATCCACCTTTGAAAGTTTTCTGGCCAGGTCGTAAAGTAGGAGATGAGATGGGGACAAGCTGCTTTTGAGTCTCTGTAATACCTATTCCCAAGCCTGGGGGAGTAAGGATATGGAGGGCAGGTATGGATAACCTTGGGTGATTTTGGTCATGCTTTAGAACTACAGTTTCCTTACCGCCTTTCTTCCTATTTTTATTTCTTCTGTCCTACCTCAACAAAAGGCTACTATGCTTCCATTAGGAATATACCATGGACAAAATTTTATGTTTCTGTGCCACAAATATAGATATTACTCAGAATTATTTTATACAACTGGTATTTTTAATTCTCTTTTTTGTTGTTGTTCACAAATGTGATCTTTATTTCAGGCAGGAAGAGACATCTGTACTTCCTCCATTTCAGACTCATCTGTCTGCTTTCACAGGTCTTCTGCCTTATGTTTCATCCATAACTTTGCAAAGTAGCCTTTTCCTAGTTACAGATTCTTAAGTAATTTTTATTTGGAAGTTATTCTCTTTAAAATTTTCTAGGGGCATCTGCCAGTTTAGGCACATTTAGTCTGTAACTCTTTGCAGCAATTCCTCTGGTTGTTTGATTAAGAAAAATAACAAAATCAGTTTCTGGCAAGCTAATTTTGCCTTACCCTTCTTTTCCTGTTTGGGTAGAGACTCAAAGAGAGCCATAGGTTATAGAATTGGGCCATTTCTGGTCTTCCATGGGTTTGTGCATGGCTCTACACATGTGCAAGTCCTTCTAGAATTCCAGGAATAGTAATGCCTTAAACTTATGAATTCCAGGAATACTATGTGTCAGAGCTTTTCAGAAGCCCCTGCAGACCTTCAGTTTATCCTTGTAACTTTTTGGAGAGCCTTTTACTATTTCCAGTTGCTAACAGCATCTTAAGCAGCTGTACATTAAACAGTAGTACTGTTTGTTCTTACAAATGACCTGGATACAGTGCTGTTCCACTGGAATGGCTCCTGAGTCAAGACAAGGAGATTCTGGGTTCTGTTATTTTTATTCACTCAGTATTTTGTCCTTTGATTTATCAGGTAATTTTCCTAAGAATGGCACTTTTAAGTGAGCCACTAGCTGACTCTGGTAAACATTTCTCCAAGTATGGGGTAGTTTGGAGCTCCAAACCCAATCTTCCTCCATAGGTGGATGCCAGGTTGCTGGTTTTCTTAGCTCTTGATGTTGAGAGGTCGATGGGGTTTGTTATTGTTGATTTGTTTTGTTTTGAGGCAGGGATTCTCTATGTAGTTCAGGCTGGCCTCAAACTCACAGCAATCCTCCTGTCTCAGCCTCCTATGTGCTGGAATTAGAGATGTGCACCACCATGCCGAGCTGAGGCTGTTGGTTTTAAAAGCAACCATGGAGCTGTGGACAAGGCATGGTAGGAAAAACACTGCAAAGCCTGCTGTTCTGACTGAGATTCAGGCATTTTCCTGGAATAAACACACTCCTCGAATTATGGCAAATCTTTAGTTTTTCAAGAGTTTTGAAAAGTTGATTTTGATAGTTTTTGCCAATGCTTTCACTGCTTTCATGGAGGAACAGATTTTTGGATGACTTTGTTTTACCATTTTAGGGTCTGCCTTGCTAGTTTTGGGTTTGGATTGGTTTAGTTTGGTTTGGTTTGGTTTGGTTTGTGGTGCTAGGGTTCAGACTTGCATGTGCTAGACAAGCACTCTCCCAGATAGCTACATCCCCAACCCCTTATTTTTGGTTCATTTGGGATTTTCCCCCTCTCTTTTCTCCATGTTATATGATTTCTGTTACCCTACCTTCAGATTCACATGTGCTTTTCCCCATTCATATTCACTCAGCTGTTAAATCCACCCAGTAAATTTTTATTTTCAGCAGTTACAGTCTTTAGCCAGTAATTTTTTTTTTATTGATTCTGTTCTTTGCTGGGACTCTTCATTTATCTGTTAAAGGTTTCATGTATTGAAACATGTCTTACTTCCTTGAGAATACTTGTAATAGTTTTTTTTTTTTAATCTTTATCTCTTCTAACATTCTGTCCATCCTAGGATTGGACTTGATCCTCTTTCCTCTTGGGAAGATACATTGTTTCATTTTTAGGCGTTCTTCATATGCTGGGAAGTTTTCTCACCCGCTAGCGTGGGTACTTGCTTTTGTGATAATGGTAGTTAAACTAGAGTGACAGTATGTATTTATTGGCTAAAGACTTAATTGGAAAGCGAGAGAGAAGATAGGGGAACAACTCCAGCTTGATGTAGGGATTCAGACTGACTCATGAACAACAAGAGGCCAGTTTTATGGAGTCCTGCTCTGGGCTGGGGTCTAGCCAGTTATTATATCATCCTGGTTCCCCAACACTGGAGGAATCCTCACAGCCTGGGATGATTCCATTCCCGTGAAATGACTGTCTTTGTGGCAACTTCAGTCATGTGAGGCTCTGCATTTACTATGAATACCTCGTTAGGACAATAGCTGGAGACTTTTAGGTGTCTGTCCTTCAAAGGGTGAAGGGTCCAGATCTAAGAGTTGTAAAAGCTGATGGTCAGATGTCCCTGTGATCTTGTTACTCTTATCTTGGTGTCCTTTATCTCAAAGGGAGATGAGATAAGCTAGGTAAATTTAGGATTAATAAACTTTGTTCTGCCAACTTTAGACAGATACTCCCTAAATGACTTACATGCCTAGGTGCAGAGCTGAGGAGAGTTTTGACTCAGAGTTTCACAAAATGAATGTCTGGCTATTTTCTTAATTACTTATTGGATATCCATTTTAGCAACAACTAGTTTAAAGTCCTTTATTGCCTGAGAAGAAAACACAATTCATGTTTTTAATAAGTAAAAGGTTAAGGACTCAGAAGTTTGTCCTTTGTCCCCGAGGGCCTCTGACTATGTCAAGTTTGGATTGTATTCTGGTATTACGTATTACCTTGTGGAAATTTGGGATTCTATTATTTTTTTCCAGTGGGTATTTTTTTCCTTTGTCAGGTAATCTTGACTAGACTTAAGTTGCAAGCTATTTCCCAAGTGGCAACTCCAGTCTCTTCTCAGTTTATCTGTCTTTAGCTGGTTTGCTTTGATTCTGATCCACTTGTGTGGTCCAGGGATTGATCAATGATTGGGCCAGTAGTTTGTGGCTCTTTCCTCTGGCTCCTTTATTCAAAAGAGTCCCTCTGTTTTGTAAGTGTTCAAGCTTCTCAGCTTCTGTTTTCTTGTTCCTTTCACCAGAAACTTGCTGCTGCTTTTTCCTTGTGAGTCCCTCAGTCTCACCATGCTTATCACACAAGCTGTTCTAGTCTCAGCTTCAGAGCCACAGTGATGGTAGTTTACGTGGATGACGCCCTGTTGTCCCCATTGCTCATCACAGGTTCTGATCTTTTGTCTTTGGCTGAGCTGCTTGGAGCCTTTTACTTGCATGCTTGTTTAGGGGTCAGTCAGAGGTATAGGCAGACCATTTGAGGATTCCCCCCTGCCTCCTTCCCTTTTGGGATTCCTTCATTCTTTCCTTGAGGCCAGAAAAACTAGGGGTTTTTCCACTTGCCATCTAGTGTTTGCAGTCCAGAGTATTTTTACCCAGGGAAAAGCCACAGAGGGGGAAAGTATGACTGCCTCTCTTTCCCCACGTAGTTGTGAATTCCTCCCTAGATTTTATGCTTCTTTTCACTCTTTAGTAACTTAAGATACTTTTGTGTGATGCCCAGCTTTTGCTCCTTCTTTTTCTGTAAGAGTAAAGGCAGGGAGAATCATTTTGTATGGTCTCAATCTCTCATACCCAATAGCAGCCCTGAATCCATTCTTTCTGAAACAGACTTGAAAATTGGTTTTTACTTACGTATTTACCACAAATGAAAGTGGAATGTAGTATTGAATGAAAATTCAAATGTAGTTGTTGAACTTGAATAACAGAAAATTGTCTAAAAGAAGCTATAGTACTAGGAAGCAAAGAGTTATAGAAATTGAAGCATTATATCATTTGAGTTCACCATACATTTGCTATCAATTACTCAAGTGCCAGATGCTATACTGGGTGCTGGGAATATAGAGATAACACAGACTCCCTGCTCTTAAGAGTAACATATTGTGAAGGATTCGTGAAAAGAGAAAAGATATACTGTATATTTGCTTGCGTTATGGCTAGTATTCATGTAACAGACTTTTCATTCTTCTTTCAGACTCCAGCCCTTCATTCTTACCAACATAAATTTCCATAGTCTCTATATTGTACACAGTCCTCATCACTTCACCCTTCCTGGTTTTCCTACTTTATTCCCTTTTGCTTTTGACCCCTTGACCTAAAAATTGTCCTAATTATCTTTCTGATATACTTTGCTCAAAGAAATAGGCTTATATCATCATACAGCAGAGTCTTACATGTTTGATCTGTTAGAATACAAAGAGCCCTAGCGATCATTTATTTGAGGTTATTGCTTTAAACAATTGGGAACAGTGTCCTTCTCAACCCTAGAGCACTGTGGGTAGTGAAAGTCCATATTAGAAATGAGGCACAGACCTCTAATCCCCATTGCTCAGGAAACTGAGGCAGGAGGATTGTGAGTTCAAGGCCAGCCTGAATGTCTAGCCAGATCTATCTCAGACAGTCAAACATACAGATTAATAACAGAGAAAATGTAAGTATTCCTTCATACTAGTTAACCAGCCATCATCTAGAATTCATCAACTCACTGTCTGCTGTACACCTGCCCCTGGCCCCAAGGTAGAGGTTAAGCCTACAATGCATAGATTTCTAGATCTACATATGTCCTTGAATAATTCATATGGATGTTGTATCTCTGAATAAAACCTAATTCAAATCAAGAAACAAAGTTAATCTGGGCTTGTCAGTTTTCTGTTATTTGGAAGTATATTTCCCTCACTTTTTAAGTCACACTTTATTTTTTATTTCTATATAAAGATTATATTTCTGAAAAGGTTTTGAGAGAGAACTACTGATGTTATTTTTCTTTCTATTTTAGATGAGCAAGTTGTTATGGGCAACAAGCTTCTTGTATATATTAGGTAAGAGATTTTTATTTATCTGTGCCTATGTTCCTTTTGTATTTCTGTCCCTGCATTTTAAGTACTGTTGTCTCCAGATATAGATATAGATATAGATAGATACAGAACGGTAGCTCTTGGGTTTAACATTGTCTAAAGACATTCTTTTGTTATCCCAATGAGGGCTAGGAAAGGGTTGCTACTTTGATCTAAGGGGCAAAGGCAAAGGATACTACTAAACATCCCACAATGCACGGGATAACCCTTACAATGAAGAATTATGTGGCCCAAACTATCTGGAAGGCTGTGATTGAGAAACCCTGATATAGAATATTTTACTTTTGCTACCAGAAACACTGTGGGATATATGTAACCTCTATTTTACGCATAAGGGCCAGAGGTTTATTAATGTCATGAAGAAGTTAGTGACAGAGGTAAAACTGGAATGTTTGTTTCCTGACTCCTGTTCATTCTTATAGACCGTGTAGGCTCAAAATTAATGCTGGCAGAACTTTTCACAATGAAGCAGCAAAGGCTGGAGAGCAGCGGAACCTGCTGGAGCATCTTTTAGCTCAGACTCCAGCATCAGAGTTAACTGCAACACCTGTTTCATACTTGCCACACTGATTTTTTAGTGAGGAAGAACATAACAGCGTTACCTAGTGTTTTATCATCTGAACTTTAAACTCTTTAGAATGCACTAGTATCCAGGGTCTCTGATCTAAGATTAAAAATCACGAATGGTTCAAAGGTGCTAAAATCCACTCTCTTCCCTCAAAAAAAAAAAAAAAAGGAAAATGGAAGACATATTCAGAAGACATTTGTAATAATCAGCCCACAAGGCAAGTAAAGAAACCATAAAGTCTGACTTGAGGTAAAACTGTAGGCTGGATTTCTCCTCAGATTGTAACTCTCCTTGAAGGATTGTCCTAGTGCAGATATTTTCCAGATATTTGTTAGCCAAGTTCATTCCTCATCTTTAACCTATCCTTTAAGCCACTAGTTTTAAAAGTCTCTGAGAACATCAGGCTTCTGACAGGTAAATCATGGTTGGACAGTGCCATCAGGTTCTTTAGATGCCAAGAAGGCCTTTTAATAGATCCTTATATTCTTGCTGCCGCTGTAGTGCAGATAGGCAGAAGTGGAGCCCTTAACTCAGTCATAGGATGGGTTAGTTAGGCACCATTACCATCTCCCATTTTATGAACTGAATATCATCTTTTGAAAAAGTTTTTAAATTGATACATAAAAACTTACAAATGGGTTACCTGTGATGGTTTTGATGAATGTGTTGTATAATGTTTAAATCAGGATACGCCTAGCTATGTCCTAAAACATTTATCTTTTCTTTTTGGAGAAAACATTCAAAAGCCTTTTTTCTAAATTTTCTTTTTCTTTTCTTTTCTTTTTTTTTAAATACAGGATCCTGCCATGTAGGTTTGGCTGGCCTTAAACTTGCTATGTAACCCAGGTTGGCTTCGAACTCACAGCAAATCTTCCTGCCTCAGTCTCCCAAGTTCTGAGGTTACAAGTGTGCACCGCCACACCCAGCTAGCTTTTTGAAATATACAATACGATTTTGCTGTCTGTAATCACATTACTACACAGTAACAGTGATCTGGTTTTAAACCTGATCTAACTGACAAAAGTTGAGCCTGTTTCAAAGTTACACTTGGATCTCAAGTTTGAGAAACAGTGTGTTACTCACATGAAAGTTGGTCCTTTACAAGTCTCCAGATCTTTATATCAGTTCTTACTCTTTTCTTCTAGCTGTTGTCTGGCAGGCCGTGCCTATCCCCTTGGTGACATCCCTGAAGATCTTGTTCCCTTGGTTAAAAACCAGGTTGGTGTTATTTCCATACCTTTTACTATATATACCTCTTGTTAAGATGTGCTGAAGATAGATTGCAGGTGAGAAGCGCTCTTGGCCCAGGAATGGTGGCCTATGTAGGAGAATGCCTGTGTACTATCCCCGACATCAATAGTTTTAGCTGAGAAGGATTTCAGAGAGAATTTAAAACACAAGGTCAATTTAAACTGAATTCAGTCTGCTTTTATTTTATCCAAAGGAAACCATTGCTTCAGCAAGATGATTGGTAAGATGAGGAAACAGTTAATGGTTGCTTTTAACTTGTAGGTTTTTGAATTTCTGATTCGTCTGCATTCAGCAGAAGCATCCCCCGAGGAAGAAATCTATCCTTATGTTCGGACTTTACTGCATTTTGACACAAGAGAATTCCTAAATGTGTTGGCCTTGGTAAGACACAGGATGATTTTTAAGGTGTTACAGGAGCCAGAGTGGTAATTTTGTCTTTAATAGAAAGAAAAATAATCTGTGTATTGGTACAATTTTTATGCTTAGCAGTAAAGTTTTCAAATGTTTGATTTTGTTGTACCATTTATATTTTCTCTCTAGTTCTTTGTAGCCCTTTGTCCCTTCTCTGTCTCTGTCTGTCTCTAAAGTGCATCCATAAAAAGTTAAAGATGGCAGGATGTCCTGGTTCTCTTATCTGGCAAACTGTATGTGTGAAGGATCTGAGGGCAGTGTCATGATGGTGGAATAACCAGAGTTGAAATGGAATAGGGAAGCTTCCTGCTGAAAAAACACTTTATACATGTTTAATTAGATGAATTTGGATGAGCCAGGTTTTCTTTGAACACGTCCCTAGGAGAATAATGTATAAAACATGATGAATTCCCCCAATTAAATAGTATTGTAGTTATTGTTTTTTAAAGCTTTTAGTATGATGGAAAGTGCTTATAATATGTAGTGAGAGCATAAGGCACAAAACTGTGTACAGCACACATTTACACACAATATTTGAAGGGAAAAAAAGACAAGGAATTACACCTAAATGTTAATAATGGTTAACTTGGTGGGATGGGGCAGATTTCGCTGTGACTATTTTATAAGGTCTCCAGTCCCATTCGTGAGTTCCCCCATGATCTAATCACCTCCCAATGGCTCCATCTCCTAATGCTGTCACAGTGGTTATTAGGTTTTTGACATGAATTTCAGGGCAGGAGGCAAAAACATTTAGATCATAGTATATGGAAAATGTATTGAAATGTGGTAAGACTAGAGGCAAGGAGATCTGCTAGCAAATGTTTGTAGTAATTTAAATAGACAACAGTGGCTTGAATTAGGATAGTAACAGTGGGAATACCAAGATGTTCAAGGGTTTACTTAAATATGATCCAGCAACTCCATATTTAGGTGTATATGCAAATAAAAATATGTCCACCAAGAAATTCAGTGCAATTGAGGGGAGTATTTCACCCCCCATCTCTTTTGCTTAATCTTGTTTTGACATTATCTTGTTTGATTTACTTCTGTCTGTACCACTCACTAAGCCTTCCCCACTAAGCCTCTAAGGAACATTTGCCTGCACTAAAGTTTCTCCTCTTATTACAAAAGCCCTATTTCACCTTTCCCTCTGATCCATACTTTCCAGAGCCCTTCCTTTGATCTTCCTGATAGCCAGTGCTATTATCTACCCGATCTCAGGCCTGATCTCAGTATTTCCCTACCCAGATGGACCCTTCTTCCTTCTGGAGAGAACTCTATTTGGTGTTACAGATGTTCTGCTACCACTAGAACCTTGTCATAACCTACTTGCTTCTAAACAATCCTAACCTGACTTCTCTTTAGTGTTGTATGCTTTGGAATGAATACTGCCAAGAGGGAATACTTATTTTCCACTTACATGTAGGTTGAAGTTTGTGGTGTTTGTTGTTCTTCTGGTTTTTCTATTATCTGGATTGTGGGTGACTTGTTTTGCTCTTCCATTACAGAGGGGTCTTTTATGGTGTGTGTGAAGAGATTAGGACAGTGTCTGTAAACCATAGCCTGTGGGCCAAACCCACCTCCTAAAATTTAAGCCATGGCCTGTATGAGCTAAGAATGTTTTTGACGTCTTTAAGAGTTGTGAAAATGAAGAAAAAGAATATATGATAGAGACAACATGTACTGCTCCCAGCCTGAAATGTTTGCTACCTGACCCTTTACAAAGAATGTTTGCTGCCTCCTAGCTTAGCATTTAACTTACTATCATTACCCATACAGAAACCCTATAATTTTGAAGGAACTACTGAAAGAAGGCTTTTTACTCAGAAGACTCTGAACTTGAGTTTTGGATTCATTTTTATACTTCATAAACTGTAATTCTCCATTAGGATATCATCACTTATTACTCTTGAAACAAACACTGAATATTCAGAAGCATCTCCGTGGAATGATAATGTTCTAGGAATGATGTGCCACTTGGTGATAGTTGTTAACTACCACTAAAATATGTCATTATTTGTATCATAACATTCACACTCGTATGTCACCTCTTAATTATATTTATAGAAACAAACTTTCAGTCTCTGTTTCAAAGCAGTGACTACTTGCTGCCAAAAGGAAAATGGCTAAGAAAATTCTTTCTGACTTGCCATCATTGCTGTCATTTTTAATGCATTGGTTAATTCTCCATGGATTTGGATTTCAGTCGAATACCCCTTATATTAGCTGATAGTCCCCACAACATCTGCAAAGTGACATCTCGCCTGGCATGAGGGCGGGGAGGAGATGTGTGTTCTCATAAATCAGAAGATGGAACTGAGAAATTTTCTTGTCTATCTTCCTGTCTTCAAGCAGGGTCATATTTAACCCACAGAAACACAAAAATATCTTCTGGTTGAGTCTTCCAATTCCTACAATCTCCTTGGCAACTCATTTCAGCTTCTCTCAACTAGCTGGCAGCAAATCAGGCTAGTTGGGGAAAAAAAGTTTAAAATATTTTATTTTTCTTTGTAAATAACTAAACAATTCAGCAATCTTTTGTTAAGCACCTGTTGGGTGCCAGACAGGAAAAAGAAGGTTACAAGTACAATTTAAGAGCTAAGGTATTTTGGAGAAGTTGGGGAAACTTGTGGCCCACTTAAAGAACACATATCCTGGTTTGAACAGAACTATGATGTAGTCTTGAACGTTCCTGGCTACGAAATTTCTTTTTTCTTTTTTAATCTATTGAGAGAATATATATCCTTTTTTTTTTTTGATCAAGAAAAAAAGCAGTAAATTACTCCTTTGTGGATTAAACATTTCTCAGAATGAAATGTGCTAGGAGAAAGCCATCAGAAAGATTTTTCAAGTCTTTAATTGTTCTTTCTACTCAGCAGACATGTCTATTTCAATTTGTTGGTAACAAATTCCATTTCAGTTCCTTCGTATATGAGTCCTGTAGTCACTAAGTATTTGTATGACATGCTGCTATCATATACTGCCAGACAAAATCCAGTGCTTCTTCCATTTACTTTAATGCATATTATAGTCAGAACACTTTTGGATCTACTTGAACAGGAACATGAAATAAAAAGACTGCTGCATTTGGCATTGTTTTAAGAGTAAAATACCTGATCCTTGTGAATAGGCTTAAGAATTTTAACATTTGCACAGTTTTGTCTTAATTTTTTAAGTGCCTGTCATTGAACATCAGTTTTTCTAAATTGTCATGGGAATTATGTAAATTATTTTGTATGACAGTTAATAAACTCATTTCATTTATTACCACATAACTGAATGATGACTGAGCATGTGGCATTTTTTTTATCCTTCTGTTCGCAGACCTTTGCTCTCAAATTGCCCTTTGCCATTAGCATTCTCTTTTCTTTGCTTGTAGAATTTGCCTTAATATTGTACTTCCTTTCTCAAGTGCTTTTTGGTTATGTGATAACCACTGTGTTTATACACTTCACATTGTTGTTGTTGTTTTCCATGTACTGGGGATCAAACTCAGGACCTTGCACTTGTATGCGAGGCAGGTCCACTGAACACCACTGAACAAAATCCCCAGCCCTTCACATTGATTTTTAGTTAATATCTTAGAATACCATGAAATATTAATTGCTATAACTTTTTACCTGACTCCCTAAAAGTAAAATGATCATTCAAAATATATAAAGAAAAATGTATTAATAAAATATGTAAAGAAAAACTTGATGAGAATGGTTATCTTATTTGGGAATTTAGTTAGATTTTTATTCACAAGAATTTAATAACTTGGTTCCTTCTAAAATTTGCAAATAAAAATTACTTTTTAAAATTTCTTTCTCCTTTTTAGACCTTTGAAGATTTTAAAAATGATAAGCAAGCTGTGGAATATCAACAGCGAATTGTGGATATTTTGTTGAAAGTAAGCAAAGATTATTTGCCCTTACACTGATATTATATTATGATAAATTCTTTTATAGCAGGTTCTAAAATACTGTTAGCAAAGCAATTTGTTGCAGTCATATCTGATGAGATTGGATGCATTGAGGGTGGTATGGGCATAGACTGTTGCAATCATATCTTAAAATTTTATTATAGTGTCTTTAGCTTTAAGAGCTGAATGAATTGCTAATCATTCATTGATGAGAAAATTTAATATATCTCAGCTTTAGATTGGATGCTGGGGTTCTGGGTACTACTTGAGAAATGTGTACTGTGATGATTTATATGAGTTCAATTATGTGTAATAATAGACTAACTTTAGAGTGCTTTGAGAAAGTGACAAATGTGAAAAATCATCATCTGTCTCTTTCCATCATCACCCTGTTGCTATGGTGGTGCCATGGTGACACTAAGAATAATTTGAGGTATATAGAGATATCATCCTTATCTGAATCCAACTAAATTCAGTGGCACTATTTTGAGGTTTATGCTGTTGCTAATGGATGAGTGCAGAGACAGGTTCTTGTCCTTTCCATCTGCATGACTTTGAGCAGGCTGCTTTCTCTTTAGTTGAAAGCTTATTCTGTTCATCTGGCTGTGAAATGGATGTTTCTTCCTTTTCATGACTTCTAGATTGTTTTGGACAAGTGATCAAAATTAAAGTGATCTCTAGTCTGTGCATAACATTTGCCCTTACACTGATATTATATTATGATAAATTCTTTTATAGCAGGTTATTATATTACATTTATTTATAATAGTTCTTTATAATTTCTAACGCATGTGGTAGTATGTACATTATCTTATTTGAGCTGTTTATTAGCTTTGTAACGTAAGCAGTGATAAACATGAGAAGGCGATTGCTAAATTCTCAGATAATGCCTGTTTGCCCTGGGCGGTTAGTATGGAGACTTTTTACTCACATTACCCAAATATCTTCTTTTTCTTTTTGTACTGGGGATTGAACTTGAGACCTTGAGCTTGCAAAGCAGGTGGCAGCACCACTGAGCTAGATCTCTGACCCTTAAATATATTCTTAAGTGACCTCCCCTACTCCTAGTCTTGTCTTCTCTCTATCTAATATTGACCTGTGACCTTCTAGTAGATAAGTTGGAATCAAGTTCTGCTGTGAGAGAAAACTCAACATGACAGTAAGTTGTGGTGGGAATTTATTTTTTCCCATATGAGCCTGGAGGTAGGCAGGGGTAGCTTTATAAACTTAGTTAGCAGGGATGGATTTCCTTCTATCTTAGTATATGATTTCTTTCTTCTGATCCAAAATGGCTGCTCAGGTGCCTGCCATCACCTTTGCATTCTAATGAGTCTGAGTGCAGAAGGAGATGCATAAGGAAACGTTTTCTGAGGAAACTTCTTAGAAGTTATATACTACAGTTCTGCTTAATCATATCACCCAGAACTTTGATTGATGGCCCTTAGCTGCTGAAAAAGGTTGGGAAATACAGTTTTTATTCTGGATAACCATACATTAGCTAAAAATTAGGAGTCCTGTTTCTAAGGTAAGAAGGAAGAATAGATGCTGGAGCACATATTAGTCCGTTTTCTGTTATAAGAAACTAAGGCTGAACATTTTAACAAGAGGTCAGTTTAGCTCCCAGTTTTAGAGACTGAAAGGTGAAGATTGGGCCACCTTGTGTTTGGCCTCTGGTGAGGGTCCTGTCAGCTGTGTCACGGTAGCAGTGGCATCATTGTGGGAGTGCATGGGACAGGGAGAGATCACAGGGCAAGCCAGGAAGCCAGAGAGAGTCAGGGGTCAGGCTTATTCTTTACCACCTTAAGGGAACTAACTCAGCAAGACCAGCATTAGTGTCTTCTGAGGGCTGTGTCAATGACCTAATCCCCTGACTCAGGCCCACCTCTGAACAGAGAAGGGAAGGAGGGAACTCAGGACATTTTAATAGATGTGCCAGGATGCTCTTCCCTAACTGCGGGTAGAGTTGCCTCCATGAGTTCAGTGAACCCTGAACAATAAAGATCTTCTCTCTCAAACTTCTGCATTCTCTCCATTACTGGAATTGTTTTCCCACTTGCCAGTAATGCCCCAAATCTGTCGTTTTTTATTGCTCCTTTCACGACATATTGCCACACATAGGAATACTTGTCTCCTCTTTGCAGTCATCTGTACCTGTTCTCCTTCCATCTTCAGCACCTTTACCCTAGTTCAGAAGCTTTTCATCTCTCCCTGGAACCCTTCCAGGCTCTTGTTCGTCTCGCTGCCTTCTCTTCCTTCTGCTGTTTATCCTGTACACTGCCAACATGGGAATTTTCCTACACACAGTACTGATCATGAGCAACTCTGTTGGTTGAAGCTACTTCTTAGTTTTCTACAGAATAAATTCAGGTTCCTTCAGATGACATTTGAGGCCTAATCTTTCCTTCTTCCCGTACATGCTGCCACATCCTAGTGGAGCCTAGAATACTCCCAGTAAACTTGTGTCATCCCATGTCGGTCCTTTTTCTCACACTCCTCACTGATGACACTGCCTGTCAGAGATTCTTCTTTCTTTCAAATTCTCTTTCAAACCAGTTAGATGAACGTTTTTTCTGCACTGTACTTATATAATTATTTGTGTCTTTTGATATATACAAGCATATCATGCCTGTTATTTTAGATGCCTTTACTTGACTCACTATCTAGTTCACAGTTCCCTTAAAAAGCGCCTGTACCATAGCACCTGACACAGAGTGGAAATGCAGAACATGAGAGCTGAGTTAAAGCACAGGAAGAACTGTGTGACTGGATACCTGTGTGGTTTTAAGTGGTAAAAAGCTACACAAGCTACATGCCCCAGGAACTGCCAGTCAACAAAACAGAAGCTGCTCGCTTTGTTAAGTGTGCTATGGCTGACTTCTTTTCTGGCTGCTTTCTTTCATGGGTTTTCTTTTAAACTTCCAAGTAGTTCTCTTCTTCCTTTGCTGATGGACGGATTTTAGTAGGGTTATTTACAATTAATTTTAATGGGATTCTGTAAGAATTCCAAAGGGAAACATAGTATTTCTTTGAAATTTTATATGCCCTCTCCAACAGTTCGCTTCTCATCCACATTGTGTTAGAATTATGCTAGAATTCACCAGATTGTTTTCCTTTCAGATAAGAAAGTAGTCACACTCCTCTAAATGGTATTAAACGCCATGTTTGTAAATCAACAAACGAATCTTTTCATGAGTTTTTAATATGAGTCCCACCACACCTCCTGACGGTGTATTTTTTGCATCAAACCAGATGGCATAATGAATAAATGGTCTCTCTTGCTCACCAGGTTATGGTGGAGAATTCAGATTTTACTCCCTCACAAGTAGGGTGTCTCTTTACTTTCCTTGCTCGGCAACTTGCAAAACCTGACAATACTTTGTTTGTGAACAGAACACTGTTTGATCAGGTAAGTGTCTTCAGCAGTGAGAATCAGAGTTGTTTTTCCTCTGTTCGCTGCTGCTAAAAAAAAAAAGTTCACTGGGTTACAGTATCCTGTTTCTTAATGTGACAGACTATTGGGTAAATGTCATATCTAGGAAAAGCCTGTTAAAGTTTTGGATCCAAATTAAGGGGTGCTTGTGTGTGTGTGTGTGTGTGTGTGTGTGTGTGCGCGCGCACGCGCGCATATTTTAATGATGTGCTCTGGGTAGCTTGACTTTGCCTAACCAACCAGTATCGTGGAGTGATAGTAGAAAATAGCTTATGGATAATAGAGAGTAGCTATTGTCTCTATTATTCTGTTACTTTAAATTGCCTAGAATTGTTTAGGAATGTTCTAATTTAAGAATCACCACTTCTCACTGATAGTAAGATTGTATGACAATCATCTGGAGAAAAGATTACTTTTAGAAAATATGAATTACAAATGAGCTTGACTCTGCAACCATCTCCTAATCCCACTTAAATATCCCCTACGCATTGATAGATGTAAAAGAAAATGCATGCTGTTTGGAGAAAGTAGGTAATGACTCGCATTTGTGAGTGCTTCACAGTGCCAGGGGCTGCTCCAAAGCTCAACCACACTACTTCTAACAGCTCTGAAATTGGTACAGTTATCCCTATTTTAAAAATGAATCCTGAGGAGGTTAAATAACTCATCCAATATCACAGGTAGTGTTATTCTTAGCATTAATGTTATTAGAATATGTTAATATGGATAGGATTCAGTTGCAAGTGGCCTTACCACAAAGTCTGTGCTTTGATCTGTCTGTGTTATCAAGGAACTTAAAGTTAAGGAATGCAGATGGTACTGCCCTCTAGTTATGTTTCTAAACTATAAAGAAATATGTACATAAGGCATGTATTAAGTTGTTACTGTGTTTGAGCCTAGTGTTTCAGGTACTAGGCCAGTCATTTGAGAAGGTAGCATACACCTGGGGTATTCGTTATGGCTGAGAGTGAATGAACTTGTATTAGAATTGATATTGCATGTGAGCTGATGTACCATAAAGTTTACTTTTTCTTTGGCCAGGTGCTTGAATTCCTGTGTAGCCCTGATGATGACTCTCGACACTCTGAAAGACAGCAGGTATGAGTAACTAAAATTTTACTAAAGATTGAGAAAAAAGTCAAAGTCAGAACTTTTCTTAATGAGCTAGACTTCACTAAATGTAAGGAGGAAATGACTTGTGCTGAGCCCTAAGGAGCTGGCCTCAAATTTGCTGTAAGCCTCCTAAAGTCTGGAATTACAACCATGTGCCACCCTAATTGGCTTAGTCTTAGTATATTGTCATAGTCTGTGCATCCCCTTTGAGATTATCTAGTGTTTGTTCACCTTCCTCATTTTAGAAATAGAAAACTAATGAAGTAAGTTATTCAAGGTCATAAATATGATCAGAACTCATCTCCTTCACTTCTAAACCAACATTTTTTTGCTTGTACCAGTTGTTATATATCAAAATTGGTGCAGTATTTTTAGTATTTTCCAGTGATATGCTGATAAAATGTTTAGCAGCTGACTCCCCACATATAATTCTCATATGAGTGTTAGTTGATATATTCATCTGTGTAAATGAGAAAAGTGAAAATACAAAGAAAATGTGTCAGAACTTTACTCATCAATGAGATAATTTCTTTGCTGAATCAAATAATAATTTTTAAACACTGCAAGTAATTCCTCAATTTTTTGAGCTCTTCAGTGTAATGCCTACAGGCACATACTTTTAAGTTTAATTGTATTACTAATATTTTACCCCATCATTTTTTTAACTAGGGTTTGGTAAACTTTCTCTATAAAGAAGAGAAAGAATAAATATTTTAGGTCTCTGTCATTCATCTTTTTTTAAGCAACCCTTTAAAAATGTACCACTTTATAGCATTTTGCTGATGTATGTGTTTGGCGATTTCTGTATTCTAAGTAACCCTGTACTGTTGGTGGCTTAACCTACCAACCTGTTGTCATTTGAGAAGATGAACAGTAATATGTCTATATATATTTCCACCGTTCACATGGTTGTATTGCATTGGAAATAATAAATTCAACAGAATATATAGTGGTAAATGTAATAAAACAATTAGGAAGTGATGAGCTTTGAGTATCAATTGCCTTTGTTTTTAGATTTAATTTGTTGTTAGCTTAATTCAGTTTTAATAATCACTGCATTTAAAAACTGGCTTGCAAACTTCCTAGAAATTTAACAAACAGCTCTAATGGGTTGGTTAATTTGGGTCCAGCAATGGCATTTCTATTATTTTTCCCAGATCGAGTTCGCTTCTTATTTTTTATATAAAGTACATTATAGTGCTCAAAACATTAACTTTAGGTTTTGAAATAGACTTTTGGAATAGGTTTTATTTAACTTGAAAATAATAAAATTTACTATGGTTAGCAAAATACTCTTACACTATTTTTTAGGCTTCTGAGAAGAGATCTGTTTCTCTAGATCTTGAGCTTAAATACAGGCAAGAACTTTCTATACTGCTCTGAGTGTTTAATGCTTCTTTTGTATCTTTTGGGGCTTATTTAAAAATAGAATCTAGCACAACATCCTGGTCACATTTTTTAATACAGCTACTCAGTGTGATAAAAATTAATTATATGAACCCCAGTATTTTTGTTTTTATTGTTATAAGATATGCATAATACAAAATGTACCATTTTAAGTGTATAGTCCAGTGGCATTAGGTCTGTTCACAGTGTTGTACGGTCATCATCATTGTCCATCTCCAGAACTTTTTCATCTTCTCAAGCTGAACCCACCATGTGCTTTAAACCCTGAGTTCCTATGCTCTTAGCCTCAGCCCTTTTCAGCCATCATTCTGCTTTCTCTCTTTTGATATTTTCTTTCTCTAGGTGCTTCCTATAAGTGCAATCATACAGTATTTGTTTTTTTGTGTTTGACTTATTTTACTTAGCATAATGTCCTTGAGGTTCATCCATGTTGTAACATGTGCATGAATTTTCTTCTTTTTAAAGGCTGAATAATATCCCCTTGTATATGTATACCATATTTTGTGTATCCATTCATTTGATGATAGACATTTGGATTGTTTCTGCCTTTTGGATATTTTGAATAATGTTGCTATGAGAAAATGCAGTGTTTAATTTTTAAAAATTAGTACATAAACGTGGATACTACCTATGGGCAGTGGATTTTAAAGAACCATAAAATGTAAAAGTGTCAAAAACTCATTTGTTGGAAATATATTTGCAGACATTTTTAGCCTAGTTTTGGTGGTCCCATTTAGTATTCTAAAAGGGCTTTGTTTGCAAATTCTGCGCCATTCCTTCCATGTTTGAAAAGCAGACTCACCTCTCTTTTATGACTTAAATACAGTATAGTCAGTATTGTAACAGCAGTCTGACCCCTTGCATATGTAAATGCAAGCCAAAATATCATCAAGTAAGAGTATAAAAAAATAAAAGTAATAGTGCACATGGCTGAATGGACCTGTATAGAGCTGGTAAATAAAAATAAATTTCAAAGTGTTTTTACTCATTTATTTTAATATTCAGGTCCTTTTAGAATTGCTGCAGGCTGGTGGCATAGTTCAATTTGAAGAAAGTGGTCTCATTCGTATGGCAGAAAAGGCCGAGTTGTAAGTTGTTTTGAAGTCATGCATTAGTTTTGCATAGAACTATTAAATTGTATTTCTCTAATTTGAAGCTCAGTAGATTGAGACATTGCTGTTTTTTAATTAAAAGTTACATAAGTAAAACAAGAAAACCCTATGTGCTTCTTGCCTTTCAGTTGAATTCTAGAAATTAGTAAAATTTTCAGAAATTTGTGGGAAATTTGGAATATTTTTACATTTGTTTTAATATGAAAGTCTTATGATGTCCTATTATTTTAGATTTTTTTAAAAAACTTAACGTTTCCGATGTATTTTGCAGATATTTGAGTTACGTGCAGTAGAAATGATGCAGAACTGGACATGCAAATAAGATCCATTATGTTAACACTGCCGTTTGTTTATTGTCTTGACATTCTTAATTCTGAACAGAAAAACTTTATATATGCAAATAGCAAATAACAAATTGATACCTCACCTACTGACTTTTTTTTTTGGGGTACTGGGTATTGAACTTGGGTCCTTGCACTTGTGAGGCAGGTGGTGGAACCAATGAGCTAAATCTCCAGTCCACCTATTGACTTTTTTATGCAACACATCACTTCTTTAACTTTTTTTGTGTGTGTCCAGCATTGAAATTTCTTCTAAACATAGTATTCAGCAGCATCTTAAACCTACAAAATAACAGATACCAATTGCCTTTAAATATCTAGTACAAGTTAAGAGTCCCTTATATGAGAAGATTGGGAATAGAAGTGTTTCAGATTTTGGAGATTTTTAGAGTTTGAAATATTGACACATACCCTACTGGTTGAACATCCCTAATCTGAAAATCCAAAATCTAAAATGCATTGATACCTAGGAAGTCTTTGAGCATCAAGATTAGGGATAATTAACCTGTACAACATTTTTTAATGTTATAAATCACATTATTTGTTTTTCTTAAATGTTTACCTTTACCACTGAGTAAACTTGTTAAACCAGTAAGCTGCCTGTTTGGCACATTGATGTTTTCCTTTTACATTCTAGCTATCAAATTTGTGAATTTATGTATGAACGAGAACACCAATATGACAAAATTATTGATTGCTACTTGCGTGACCCACTGAGACAGGTAAGTTAAGAACTGCTTTACCTTTTTTCTTTGTCAGTTCCCTTCCCTTATCAGGTAGAAATAGCTATTCAGTAGAAATATTTAGTCATGTGTTTGCTGACCCAAAATTTTACCCTTATTCACCAGGTTTTTATTTAGTTCCTGTAATAAAGCCAAGTCTTTGTTTATAATTAAGACAGATGTAGTCCTTGAAATTTTAGAATTCAAGTTTAGTTTAGATGGAGACTGACAGTAAGCAAAATCAAATATATGATTATCGATTGTGGTAAGTGCTGGGGAAGAGAAACTGGGTACAACTGAGGAGGTTAATGGGGGACTAACCTCTGCAGAGGAGCTAGAAGAGGAATCTCAGAGAAAGTGACATAGAAACTGAGTTTTGGGATTTGAGAAGCAAGTGAAGCAATGAGACAAAAGAAGAGTGTTTTCAGATTGGGAAATGTATATGCAAAGGTCCTGATGTGGGGTGTGGGGTGGACATGTTCAAGAAACTGACTGGAGATCGTATAGAAAATGAAAATCAGTGCAGATAGAGCATACTAGAAAAGGGAAAGAGTAGTTGAGATGAAACTGGGAATGCGGGAAGGGACCACCAAAAGCAAAAGTATGATATTACTCTATTAGGTCACTGAAAGTTAAGAAATTGAGACCAAAATTAATTGGAACAGACTTGTAACTACTAAGATTCTACCCTGGACTCTAAATAATTACTCTTTCTCTTCAGTGTCTGTTTTCTACCAGTTAACTGTCTCTAAATGGTTTCCCATCTTCAAATAATAGGTATTTACCAAGACTGGTAAAAATAATAGGTAGTGACTAAATACAGCTCGAGTGAAGGGACAAATAAGTCATGCTATCTTGTGTTTTTCAGGAAGAAGTCTTTAATTACATTCACAACATCTTATCCATTCCTGGCCACAGTGCTGAGGAGAAACAGTCTGTGTGGCACAAAGCAATGGATCATATTGAGGTACTGATTCAACAAAACTTTTAAAACTTCCCTGTTGAATAGATTCTTCCAAATTAACTTTCTGTTAACTAAGCAGTGGCAGATGCCATATTATTAATGTTGTCTTGCTTGAGGGTTAAATCCTTTCCATACTTAGAAAGATCATGCATGTGGACAGCACCTTAGGTGAGCATCTGGTATGAAACCTGGTACAGGAAGTGAGAGGTGTGTGGTCTGCAGCGACTGCCACCCTCCTGCCTGTAGGATGGAGAATGCAGGTTATGCCATTTAACGTAATCATCTGCCAGACAAGGTGAATGGGTCTCTGTGAAAGAACCCAACAAGATCTTCCTCCAATTCTGAGTTTTACCATTTCTGTTAGTATTCGTTTTGTTTCCTTTTTCATTATCCACTTCAGATCTCTGTAGTTGCATTATGGTTTATTCTTCATTTTAATTCATCTGCAATATTCAGTGGTTTGAGCACATAGATTCCAGACACCCAAAAATGAAACTGTGTCTCTGCATAATGTGATACGTGATGCATTAATCAATGAGCAAACAAATTATTCAGCAGGAAACACATGCTAGAGAAATGCTAAGAAGTATTTTTGCTGCAAAACAATTATTTCTGCTGACTCCTTTTTTAATCACATCTGCACATTATTTCACCTCAGACCTTTTTCATCTCTCTTAAGGCCATGTTTACAAGTATATGGGAGTTTTTATTGAAGGACTTCTGCCTCTGGTAATGTAAACAATCAACAAAAGCACATAGGGAAAAGTTACTATACTAATTTTTTTTGACAATATACAATGTTAACTTAGTAGTTCTTAGTACTTTTGGAGTTCTGGACTTATTTTGAGAATCTAATGAAAGATTTGGACCTGTATCTTTTAATATTACACATGTGTTTAAGTACATTATTTTTATTAGCATCAGGGACCCAAAGACTTCTAAAACCAATTTTTAGTTTGGACCTGTGGATTCCTAGTAAAGAATTTCTGGATTAAATGATTTAACCAATGTGGGCAGTTTCACTGAATTTTAAAGAGCATTTTGTTTTTAAATAAAAATTCAGAAAACTGCATAAAATGTACAGTTTGATTTTTAAAAATCAAAAAGTAAACATCCTAAGCTCAGATCTATATCTATATATAGATAGATTTTTTTTTTTTTTTTTTTGCACTGGGGATCAAACTCAGGTCCTTGCCCTTGAAAAGCAGGCACCGGAACCACTGAGCTAGCTCCCCGACCTGCTAAGCTCAGATCTAAAAACATCATATGTCTGCTCTCCTAGGCTCTTCCTATATGTCCTTTCCTGGTCAGTTTTCTGCTTCTACTTTGCTTTCCCAGTATTCCTGTCACACCCCCATTTTTGTGATAATTTCCTGACTTTCTATATACCATCACTGCCTCTGCATGCATCCTGCAGTATGGTTTTGTTTTGCCTGGTTTTGAACTTAAATTACATCTGGTATTTTCTGTTTTATTTTTGCTCAATGTGTTGTTTGAAAGGTTTGTATCCTTTAGTGTAGGTAGCTGCAATTTATGCTTATGTACAATATTCCATTTTATAAATATATCACCATCTATATCTGACTTTTCTCTTCACTGAGACATAATACCTGACACCCATGAACTAAGGAAGAAATGTTTATTTTTTTGGTTCACAGTGCATAGAGGTTTCAGTCCATAGTTGGCTGGCAGCAAGGCAGGGCAGCATGGCAAGCTCATGACATGGCAACTGGGAAACAGAGAGAAATCAAAGGAAGAGAAAGGGAGATGAATTCTTCCAGGCCACGTCCCCAGGGACCCACCTCCTCCATTCAGTCTTAACCTACCCGCATCACATTGAGCTGTGAGCTAATGATGAGTATCACGCCCTCATGATCCAGTCACCTTTCAAAAACCCTACCTGTGGGCCCGTGAGACTTCGGGGACATCTAGACATAATCTATAACAGTCTCTCCATGTTACTGTTGATGGACATTTCAGTTGTTTCTGGTTTTGGACTATTAAAAATAATCTGTGCATGTTACTCTACATATATCTTGAGCACGGCCACATGCATCTTACTAGCACAATGGTTCTCAGTCCGATGCCAACTTTAGCTGAGAACTTGGTAGAAATATAGTTTCAGTCTCCACTTCAAGCCTTTTGAATCTGCAACTCTGGGAGTGGGGCCCAGCAGCACGCTGTAACGAGTCCTCTAAGTGATTCTGGTGGGAGATGACTGATAATCTCTACTCTTCCTACTAATTGATTGGTAGGTAATTGGGATTGATATCTTCAGCTTTAGTGGATGCCAGCATTAGAGAGTTCCCATTGGCTCTATATCCTTGCTAGACTTTAAAACTGTCCAATCTTGGATGTGTAATGGTAACTCATTATGTTTTAAATTTATATGTCCTTTATTACTAAAACATGAACAGCCTTTTCATGTTTATTTTCCATTTAAATTCTCTCATTTGTGATGCATTCATTGAAGTCTTTTGACCATTTTTCTATTAGAATGTCTGATACCTACTGATATGTAAAATTTCTTTATGTATCATGGATGCTAGTTATTTTTTAGAAATATGTGGCTAATATCTTCTCCCATTCAGTGGCTTTGTCCTTCAATATTTTTGTTGTTCTTTTTTAAGAAAAGGTTTTTTTTAATCATCAAAATAATCAGTTTTCCCCCTTTATACTTAAGAAGATGTCTTCTTTGTTAGATCAGGGCCAGTCTGTACTACAGCGAAGGACAGATAAACAAAAGATGTCCTCCTTTGTTCTCTGTCATCTGAAAGCTTTTTTGCTCCCTCCCCTGCATGCTTGGGATAATATCCAGGGCCTCATGAGTGCTAAGCAAGCTTTCTACCACTAAGCTAGACCCCTAACCCTTGATTTTTTTATTTAATCTTTAGCATTCCATCGAAAAGTAGTTTTTGTATGTGATATGAAGTAGCGATCCAATTGATTTTTAAAATTATATGTGTCCAGTGTTCCATGCAGCACTTATTTGAGAAGTTGCCTTTCCCCATTGTTCTACAGAGATACATTGCAAGGGTCTGTATGCTTGGGCTGTTTTTCTGGTCTTTCTCTTTCATTGGCTTATTTACCTGTCTATCTCTGCATCAGTTCCATGCTATTCTAACGATTGTGTTGTATGATAAATCTTGATTTCTTTAACAGAGTCTTAGCTATTGTGAACTTTATGTTCTTTCTATATGTATTTTAGAATCAACTTACCAACTTCCAGAGAGAGAGAGAGAGAGAGAGAGAGAGAAAGAACTTTGTGATTGTGATAGGCTTTCTCTGTTGAATCTGTCCATTGTTTTGAAGATAATTGATAATGTTTATAAGTTGAGTCTACCATTCTGTGCCTAATGGTATTATCTTTCTGTAATGTTGTAAGATTTTACCTGTAGAGGTTTTTCATCCTTTGTTAGATTTACTGTCATAACTTACTTTTCCCCCTCTACTAGGGATTGAACTCAGGGCCTTCTCACTGAGATACATTCCCATCCCCCCCCTTTTTAAGTATTTATTTTGAGACATGGTATAAATAAGTTTTCTAGTCTGAGCTCAAATTTGTGACTCTTCTGCCTTAGCCTCCTGTAGTGCTAAGGTTATAGGCTTGCATCACCACACCCAGCTACAGTTTTTTTGTTTGCTTTGGTTTTGTTTTTTTTTTTTTTTTTTTTTTAGTGCTACTGTTAATGGTGTTTTTAAAATTTTCATTTTCAGCATAAGTCTTATGTTTACTGTAAAGCTATTTATGGATGCTTCCTATTATCTCTGAGGATTTCCTCATGAATAGGTTTTTGGGGCCTTTTTTTGTTTGTTTGCTATCATACCAGGGATCAAACTCAAGACCTTGCGCTTGTGCAGCAGGTGGCAGCACCACTGAGCTAAATCCCCGGCCCCTATTCATGAAGAGATTTTTAACTTTTTTACCTTTTCTCTCTTATTCTGTTTTTGTGGTAAATTTTATTCATATTAAACCAACCCTGAATTCCACAGATAAGTGCAACTTGTTACTGATACATTATTTTCAAATATATTTTTGGATTTCATTTTTCTTCAAGATATTTGTTACGATATTCATGATTTAAATTGATCTCTAGTTTTCCTTTCTTACATTGTTTAACTGGTTAGGAGGTCAAAATACTACTAGCCTCTTAACAATGAGCTGAAGAGTTATTTTTTCCTTAAGTACAGTGGTATGTCACTTCAGAATTTAATTTGTTTCATGACTCTGGAAAAGCTGGCCACATTTGTGTTTGTGTGAGAAAGAGGGCTGTGGTTATGTTTGTCACCCGATACAGAGTTTGCAAACAAAAACTAAATTTTGCCAAACGCTTCTGTTTGCACACCAGATTGTTTGCAAACAGAAGCGTTTGTGAACCAAGATACCACTGCAGTTACTAGAACTTACCATTGAGGCCATATGGCCATTTTTTTTCCATATGGAAAGATTTCTCACTACTCATTTAATTTTTTTTTTCCTGAGACATTGTCTTGCTATGTTATTCAACCTGGCCTTGAACTCTTAGACTTGAGCAACTTTTGCCTCGGCCTCCAGAGTAGGGGGAACAGGTGTGTGCTGTCATGCCTAGTTTTTTGTTGTTGTTGTTGTTGTTGTTTTTGTTGTTGTTTTCTTTCCCAGTGTTGGAGATCAAAGTCAGGTTCTTGTGGTAAGCAGTCATTATTTCTCTGAGGCACATCCCCAGCCTATCAGTTCCTTTATGGTTGAAAATTGATTCAGGCTTTCTATTTCTTAAATCTGTTTATTAAATTATACTTTGTTGGAATTTATCTATTTTGCCTAAGTTTTAATATTCTTGTGATTAATTAGAATTTTCTTTTTATTGTGCAAATTAGTAGTATTATATATCATTTTGTTTGTGCAACAGGTTAGTTTGCCCTCCCTTTTTTGAGATGTAGTTTGTTAGTGTGCCTCATAATTATTTGTGTCAGCTAATTGTTATTAATTTACAAATACTGCTAACAATAATTGTTAAATACATCATGAATGTTGCAGCGACAATAACTTGTGCAGTTCTTACTAGATAATATGCTGTGCTGGTCTGCATTTAGTCTTTGTATTTAGCTGTGCATTGTGACTGTGGTTGAGTACTGTTCCCACTGGAAATGGCTGCCTGGAAAGGCAGAATATAATCCAAGAAAGAAGAGCGTTTCAAGAAGTAAAAGGTAGCCAGTGATACCAAGGAAATTTCAAAGATAGGACAGATTAGAAATCTTAGATTTGGCAGAAATAGGTCTTATTAACAGTTGTTAATCTACAGTACTGATATTTAGTTTCCTTTAAGATTTAGTACCTTATTGGCCAGGTATTTAGCTCAGTGGCTCTATGTCTGCCTTGCAAGCACAGAGTCCTGAGTGCGATCCCTGATACACACACACACACACACAAAATTAGCACCTTATCATTTGAGGGATGCAAATTAAAACACTGAGATTCCATCTCACTCAAGAAAGAATTGCTGTTATTTAGAAATCAATCAATAACATGCTGGTGGGGCTGTAGGGAGAAAAGAACCCTTCTCTACTGCTGGTGGGAGTGTAGACTGGTGTGACTGCTGTGGGAATCAGTGTGGAGATTCCTCAAAAAACTAAAACTAGAGCTTCCATTTGACCCAGCTATTCCCCTTCTTGGTATCTTCCCAAAATAATGAAAAGCATCATACCACAGTGATATATGCACACCCATGTTTATACTGTCACAGTTTGTAATAGCTAAATCTTGTGAACAGCCCAAATGCCCCTCAACCAATGAATTGATAAAGATGTGATAAAATCGATAAAGATTTTTATATAATGGGGTGCTACTCAGCTGTAAAGAAAGATAAACTTGAGATATTTTTATAGCTAATGGGCACACCTTAAGACCATACTCTTAAGTGAAATAAATCTGACACACATGTGTAAATACTGTATTGTTTCTCTGGTGTGAGAAACTGAAGGTGTAAACAAGGGCCAAAATGTATAATAGATATTGTGAAATAGAAGAAAATGTTCAAGTGGGTAGGTGAACGAGGGATGGGGCAGGGAAATGGAAGAAAGAGGAAAGAAAAGAAGATGAGAAAAGAAGAAATGGAAACAAAGCTCTTGTAAATAAGGAAGGGAAAGGGGTTGAAGGGAGATCAAGAAATGGGAGAAAAAAGAGAATCAAGATACATCACAAAGAGGTACAAATTCCTGATGGTGAATGTGATCATTATGTATATTTTAAATGTATCAATAAGCTTAATTTAAAAAAAGATTTGGCACCTTAAGTTGATTCTTTAAGATACTGTCAGGTTTCTGAATCCACCAGGCAGCAGAGGCAGTTTTAGAATTCTTAGCCAGAGGAATTGCAGCTGTACTTTTTCCCATTCCTTTTAGTTATTACTTTAAAACTCAAGAGTGAAATTCATTGAAGGGAACTCAGGAAGCTTTTGTTCCTTCTGTTCATCCTGTAGATACCATGGCCAGAATCCAGAGTTTATAGTGCTTTCATTTTCTAAGAATTCAAAATTACCCTCTTTAAAAGCCAAATTCTGTTTTATTATATGAAACATTTCCAATTTTTCTTATTTGCAATGTACACTTTAAATGGAGGCCCTGTGTCAAGGTATCCTGAAATACAGTGTGGACACTTGTGACAATATTGAGGTAGGTAATCATATCTCATATCTGTGGGCCTTCTATTTAAATATACCATTTTGAATGGCTTTATCTTTTCCTTTAACTTCAGGAGCTTGTATCCCTGAAGCCCTGTAAAGCTGCAGAGCTGGTTGCTACACACTTTTCTGAACAGATTGAAACAGTCATTAAAAAACTTCAGGTAAATATTGCAAGCATATATTGGGGAAAAACAACTAGTTGAGAGACAACTGTTGAGCCTGCATCTAAGAACTTTGTATTGTAGTAATTTGTTTAGGTGATGTTGCCACTTTAGCAACTTCTGCAGAGGGAGAGAGAGAATTTGGAAGCAGCTATGTGATGTTCTCTCAGTCTCAAAATGAGGGAGATCATCTTTGGGCATAATAAACATTAACATCAGAGGAACATCTTTGGAACTATCTATCACACACACTTAGTCCAGAAATCACCATCTACAGAAGGTCGTTTCTTCCATCTATTTTCTTTTTCTGTGGGAGCCACAACCCTATTTTTAAGGTTCATGTTACTTGTTCAGAACTTTGCAGTTTTCAAGGTGGAATTAGTGTTGACTTTCTAGAATTTTTCTTGAAAAATCTTAGCTAGAATATAGCTAGCTACAAACATGTTGGACATTGAGAAGCTCAGTTGGAAGTATTATTTAGTGGACCCACTATTCCTCTTTATCACTTACCTGGCAGTATTGAGTTTTCTTACTGCCATTATGGGAGCTGAACAACAACAGGGACATAAAGCATAACCCAGAGTCCTCAAATGGTACAAATAATGGTAGGGAATAGTTGCGCAGAATGAAAATCAGAGCAGTGAATGGGAGCCAAGTGACCTGAGAGGCAAAGATCTGGAATTTATTCAAGTGCTTACACTGTCCCCACTCAGTACCACAAGTACTAGGCCCCGAGGACACAAATAAGAATTCAGTCTTTCCTTTAATTTTTCCTATGGAACAGAACATTTATGTAAAAGTGCTTAGAAATGAAAGAGGAGAGTGATGGGTTTTGAGAAAGTCAGACAAAAATTCTCAGACTTGGCCTGGGTCTCGAATGAGTCAGGAAGGGTTTCTCCATAAAGGGCTGTCAGCACATGAAGACTAAGCAGCACGAAGCAGCACATGCATTCAGAGAGTGGTCAGGACTGTGTGAAGCTTGTTGTTCTAATGGGCAGTGGTGAAAGTGGTCTTTGATTAGGCTAGAAGGAATATGTTGGAAGGAACAAGTCAGAATGATAGAGACTGGAAAATGTTGCTTGGGGCCCAATATTATATGTAATGCTAAGACATTTATACTTATCTTCTAAGCATGAGAGAATTGCTAACATGTTTAACCAAATGATAATTTTATTAGATCCCTTTTATAGAAAATGGGCTCTGGCTAGAAGTATGGAGAATGGGCTGGCAAGGAGAACAAAGGGAACAGAGAAACCATTTAGAAGACAAAAGATCTGGGCAAAAGATGTGAGGACCAAGAGAAAGCCAGTGTCAGTGGAGAGGCAGATTCCAGATGTTTTTGTGAAATAAAACGTATAGGACTTGGAAATAGTTGAATAGGATAGCAAATTTAAAAATGACTCCCAGACACCAAGGTTGGTTGTCCAGCAGTAGGTCATTGACTCAGAATAAGGATGCAGCCATTGATTCAGTAATACTTATGCTCTGGGCCCAGAAACAAAGTTCTGAGGATATAAAAATCATAAATGTAATCCCTGCCCCCAAGGAAAAAGCTAAGAAACAGACAGTTACAGAATAGTTTGGCTGGGATGGTGACAGAGCACTGCCTGGGATTTGAGGAGGTACATGGAGGACAGCGCACCCTGTCGGGATGAGGCTGGGAGGACACTTCTGCTCACGACTGCAGCTCCCACAGCTTCATACCCTTTCAAGTCAGCAGTCCTAGCAACCTCACCTGTGGTGCTTTGTTTGTTTGTTTAATATAAGACTGTCAGCCGGGAGTGGTGGCGCACGCCTGTAATCCCAGCACTCGGGAGGCTGAGGCAGGAGGATCACTGTGAGTTCAAAACCAGCCTGGGCTACATAGTGAGTTCCAGGTCAGTCTCAACTACATAGTGAGACCCTGTCTCAAAAAGACCCCCCCCCAAAAAATATATATGACTGTCAATGGCAGTTTTTTTTTTTTCCTGTAGTCTATAAGGATATTGAGACAGGTCTACTAAATGGATATAATGTCATTTGTCAGACAAATATATAAAAGCTAATTCAATGGATAAGGAAAAAGTGACTATTTGATTGTGGTCTGTTGAATCTTGGTTCTTTTAAGGAAATTTTATTTTATTGCAGAGCCTTATTAATTGTATAAGAATTCCATACAGGTCTTCTAAAGTACCTTTACTTTTGATGATAAGCAATGTGTCTCTAATTGTTTTCAGAATTCTTGAGAAAAGAAGTAAGCCAGAGTAATGTTATAATCAAGGAGAAAGTAATATAAAATAAAATAAAATAGTGATAAAAA